GCCCTGTGCTGCACCTCCTGCACCTCCTGCACCTCCTGCACCTCCTGCACCTCCTGCACCTCCCTCCTGCACCTCCTGCACCTCCTGCACCTCCTGCACCTCCTGCACCTCCTGCACCTCCTGCACCTCCTGCACCTCCTGCACCTCCTGCACCTCCTGCACCTCCTGCACCTCCTGCACCTCCTGCACCTCCTGCACCTCCTGCACCTCCTGCACCTCCTGCACCTCCTGCACCTCCTGCCTTATCTTGACGCACCCTCTCCCTCTCCTCTCCCTCTCCTTCTCTCTCACCCTCTCCCTCTCCCTCTCCTCTCCCTCTCCCTCTCCTCTCCCTCACCTCTCCCTCTCCCCCCCTCTCTCCTCTTCTCCTCTCTCTCTCCCTCTCCCTCTCCATCTCCCTCTCCCTCTCCCTATCCTCTCCCTCTCCTCTTCTTCTCCCCCCCTCTCTCCTCTCCCTCCCTTCAAATCTCGTATTCCTGTCCGCCGCGCCTCTCCAATCTCGATCTCTCCCCCAATCGGCGCGCAGCGGCGGCGCTGAAGGAGTGCGCGGCGGAGTGGGGGGTGAGCGCGGCGGGGTGGGCGCAAGGTGCGGACTGTGCAACGGCGGAGACGATCACGTGCGACGACAACGGCATGGTCACAGAACTGTGAGTGCTCTGGAGAATGGCCGCGCGCGGGGGAAAGCGTGGGGAGAGTGCGGGAGCGATAAGGGGAGCAGAGGACGGGCAAGGGCGCGAGGGCCGGGGGAAGAGCGGGGGGAAGAGCAGGGGGGTGCGATGAGGGGAGCAGCAGGGCATATGAGATGCGCATGGGGGAAGGGGTTGAGGGCGTGGAGTGCCAGAGCCGCGCGCACATGCGCCATTGAGTGCGCCCAGTGTTGCCGCCCAGTGCTACTGTTGCTGGCGCTCCACATGCATTTGTCACCATGGGCCATCACACTCTCGCCTCACATGCTTCATTCATTCACCACACTCCTCCATTGCTCCACCTGCTTCATTGCCTCCTCGCTGCCTGTCCGCCGCTCCTCCCAAGCCTCCCCATCATTCCTGTGCGTGTTGCGCAGGCTGCTGAATTCAAAGGACCTCAGGGGCTCCATCTCCCTCGCCCTCACCGCGCTATCCCGCCTGCAATCGCTGTGAGTCGCGGATACGAGTCGCCAGGGGCCGGCCCGGGGCTTGTGAGTCGCCTTGCCCTGCCCCTACCTGCCGTCTCGCTCGCTCTCTCCCCATGTCACCCATCACATCACCCACCACGTCACCATTCCTCCTTCCCTCTTGCCCTTCCCTTCCCCTTCCACCCATCCCTCCGCACACCCCGTTCTCTCTCCCCGGTACTGGCAGGAATCTGCAGTCCAACAGTCTCTCCGGGCCTGTGCCCTCCGCCCTCTCCTCCCTCCGCCTGCTGACCTCCCTGTGAGGCGCACTGAGAGGGGCAGTGAGTGGGGCAGTGAGAGGGGCCCCGAGAGAGGCACTGTGTGTGCATACGTGCGTGCGTGTGTCTGTGTTCGTGTGTATGTCTATCAATGTGCAAAAAAAATATTGTGTTCCTGCTGTCTTTGTGTTCGTGTGTATGTTTGTCCATGTGCATCTCCTCATCTGTGCAAGTGTGTGTGTGCACGTGCGCGTGTGACCGCGTGTGCGTCTGTGTGCATGTCTGCATGTGCATTCGTGCATCAATGCGTGCATGCAGGAGGGTGGGCAACAACAACCTCACGGGTCCTGTCTTCACCGTCATTGCTCGCATGCCATCGCTCGTCGAACTGTAACCAACCACCCGCCACAATCTCGAACTCCCTTCCCTTTCACCCATTGCACTGCGTGTCACGGGCCGGCTTCCAGCCGTGGGGCTCATCATACCTTGCACTGCCTGCAACATACTCTCCTCCTCCTCCTCCTCCTCCTCCTCCTCCTCCTCCTCCTCCTCCTCCTCCTCCTCCTCCTCCTCCTCCTCCTGTCTCGTCCCCACCAATCTGTCTCCGCCTTTCTCCCTCCACTTTACCCTCACCACCTACCTCTCTTCCACGTTCGCATTTGCTCCACAATCGCTCCCCCTTTTCTCCCCGCCACCTCCACTCGCCCCACCCCCCTCAGCGACCTCTATAGCAACAGCTTCACGGGGCCCGTTCCACTCACCGTCTCGCGCCTGCAGAAGCTGTCGTCTCTGTCAGTCCCTCGCCCTCGCCCCACTCCCTTGCTGCACCCCCCTTCCCACGCACACTGCTTCTCCGTCTCTCTTGCTCTTTCCTGCCATCCGCTGCCCTCCTGCCCTCTCCTAAACAGTCCATCTTTCTTTCAGAAAACCTGCCCCTCCCACCGCCCCTTTCGTGCTGCCCTTACCACCGCCCCTTTGTTGCTGCCTGTCCCCTGTAGGGAATTGAAGTCCAACGACTTTCACGGGCCCTTCCCTCCAGCCTTCACCAGCCTCACCGCCCTCACCTACCTGTATGCCTCTCCTCTCCCAACCTCTCCTCTCCCCGCCCTCTCCTCTCTCTACCGTCTCCTCCTTTTTCGGTGCAGACCGCATCACCCGACATGCCATACCATGCCATACAGTTCCATGCCATCGCATACCATCCCAACCATCCCATCCCATCCCATTCCATCCCACCCCACGTTACACCGTCCCCTCCCTCCCCACCCCTGCTTCGCTTCGCCCCCAACCCACAGGAGCATCGCATTTACAGGTCTCTCTGGCCCGCTGTTCGATGACATCACCGCCCTCTCTTCCCTTGAGTTGCTGTAATGCACGCCTCTCTTCCTTTGAACCCCTGTAATGCGCAAGTTGACTGCAAGTCGCAATCACAATCCATGTGTTCCGTTCTGACCGCACTTGCCTCCTCGCTCTCCCTCTCATCGCATGTCCCCCTCTCATTGCCCCCTCACATCACATGTTTATGCCACGTTGCTTGCACATATATATTTCCCCCCCCTTGTATGTACATGCCTGCGTGCCTGCGTGCTTGCATGTGGCACTGCCACCATCAGCTACGCGTCCAGCAACAACATCTCAGGAAGCATCCCCGCCACCATCACTGCCCTCTCTCGCCTCGCGCACCTGTCAGTTTTTTACAATTATCCCCGTACCCGTCTCTCCTTCTCTTCTTTTGATTATTTCCGTGCACTTCTCTCCTTCTCTTCTTTTGCTTATCCCCGTGCAACCCTCTCTTTCTCCTTCAACCCCTCGCAACCATCTCATTCCAACCCATTTTCACTTCATTTGTTTGTGAATATATCTTATATATAATCGTACAACCCATTTGTTTGTGAATATATATTAGTGAATGCATTTATTCATATCCCTCTCTTAGACAACTCTTTAAATGAGTTTAGAGAAGCGCATACAAGCTGGCCCACTGGTGAATATCACTTCTATATGTGCATTTACATAACATATTCTGCGCCTCTTGTATTTTTCCTCATCCCGCTCCATGTATCCTCTACCTGCCCCTGCCCTCTCTCAGTCACTTTTGAAGGCTAATCTGCCCAACAGACAACACCAGCTGTGAAATCAATCAGGACCGTTCATCCAAATTTTGCACCTTCTGTTCAACGTTCTGCTCCACGTGTATCCCAATCAACGGTCAGGATCGCCCCGATCATGCACTTAGCACTGCACTGCTACGATCACATCACACCATGCATGTGCGCCTGGCATGCCCCTGCCATGCTCCTCCGATTATGAGTGGGCTCAGCAATGCTATGACAGTATGGCTCATGCTTTCGTTCCGCAAATCTGCCCTCCAGCATTCCCTACGAATTCCTCCCAGCCTTCCCTGCCATTCTCAAGTTCCATCACATCACATCCCATCCGCCCACCCATCCCCTGTTTCCCCCATCCCAACCCCACCCGTCCCCCACCAGTACCAACCTCCAGTCCGCCTCCCCCTTCCCCTCCTCCCCCTCCACCATCCCCCTCCCCACCGCCTCCTCCGCCCACCATCACCGTCCTTCTCGCCTCCCCTTCCCCTCCTCCTCCTCCGCCCTCCGCCCTCCCACTGTCTGCAATTGTGGGGGCAGTAGTGGGTTCAGTGGTGGTGCTGCTGCTGCTGCTGGTGGCGGTAGCATGGGGGGTATGGAGGTGGAGGAAAGGGAGGGAGCAGAAGGAGCAGGACTCGAGAGAGTGGGGACAGGAGAGGGAGGAAGGGGAGATTTTGAGGGCATATGGCATGAAGACAGGATCGCATGAAGACAGGATTGCATGAAGACAGGATCGCATGAAGACAGGATCGCATGATGAGAGGAGACACTATTCCAGAGCGTGTTGCATGAGATCGGGGGGTGTACAGCTCATTAAATATTCGATTCTTTTCTCGTCTCTTTTCAGTGTTATCATTCCCACTGCCATTACATATCAAGCAAGTACACCCACCAAGTGTGTTCGTGTCCTGTTGAGGCTACTTGCCTACCCTTGTAGTGTTCACCATCTGCACCCCCCCTCCCCCAACTAGCCTCGCGGTTCACACAATCAACAGCACAGCAAGCAGCTCAGTAGATCTGGTGCCTGTCTTGAACCTTCAGTTACCAGCGCAGCAGCACCTTCAGTCGAACACACTCCAAGCAATCCAATCTGGAAATTTGATACAGAGTAACACACCACATTTTTTCCAGTCTGACTGACACATGACAACACCACTTCCCGCATTTTCCTGTATCGAGAATCTGGGCTCCTTTTCCAAAATTGTAGGGTTGGCGGTACTGTACGCGACAAAATCTGAGGTGACTGCCAAGTTGCCCCGCGAGGTGCGAATGCAGGAGGTCAAGTTTTTGAAAGTCCCAAATTCCAAGGTCCCACACATCCCATCCCACCACCACTAGCAGCTCGCTGCTCGGCACGACTGCAAACTTTCGTGTGCCACACGACACGAACCACTGGACATCACTTCCCATCCACCGCACTGCACCACGGCCTCACCAAGTATCCAGCTATTATATTTTTCAGCGCCGCCTTTCGGCCGCCACCATGATCGCCTGGGAAGCACTGTCTAGCCTCCCGTCGCCGCGATGGGTTGTGCAAGAACGGCCAGCTCGCGGTCGCGGGTCTTCGCATCAGTCCTTCCGTGTTTCGCGGCGGTCGTCGTCGCTTTCCTGCCGCATGTCGTCACCCAGCCTCTCGCCGACTCCCAAGGTGCGCCATGCGCGAAGAATTTCTAGGGTTGGGACCACAGCAAGCTTAGGAGTGCCCATTCAGTCCATTCGAACCCTGCGTCTGGAACCACTCGCCGAATGCGCGCTACGAGTACCACTCGCCGAATGCGCGCTACAGTGGTCTAGGCGGCACGGGGCGATATATAAGTCGATTTTTTCAGAACAAAGCCCTCATATTCATTCTGTTCTAAGACTGATATAACCTCAGCGCCACGGCGATTCAGCTGTCCTTCGTAGCTGGATCCAACGCAGCACCGTTTCGCCGTGGAGTGGAACCTTCCTGCTTGTCTTTCGTTCAGCTTGCCTCGCATTCTCCGCGAACTTTTTGCTCTTGCATTATGCTCCTTTTATAATACCCTGCCGCTGTCCTCGCGTACGTACTCTCCTCTCTTTCTCCCTCTCCCTCTCCCTCTCCCTCTCCCTCTCCCTCTAACTCTCCCTCTCCCTCTCCCTCTCCCTCTCCCTCTCCCTCTCCCTCTCCCTCTCCCTCTCCCTCTCCCTCTCCCTCTCCCTCTCCCTCTCCCTCTCCCTCTCCCTCTCCCTCTCCCTCTCCCTCTCCCTCTCTCTCTCCTCTTTCGCTCGTCCTCTCAAATACCGTATTCCTACTGTCCGCCTCTTCCTCGATCTCCCGCACACTCAGCGCGCAGCGGCGGCGCTGAAGGAGTGCGCGGCGGAGTGGGGAGTGAGCGCGGCGGAGTGGGCGCAAGGCACGAAGTGCGCGCCGGCGACGACAATCAAGTGCGACAAAAACGGCATGGTCACGTCGCTGTGAGTGCACCGTGGGACGGCAGTGGGGGGGGAGAGGGGGGGGGGGGGAGCGCGGGGGGAAGCGCAAAGGGAAGCGCAGGGCGAACGACGGGGACGATGAGGGGAGCAGAGCACGAGCAAAGGCGCGAAGGCGCGGGGAAGTGCGCGGGGTATGATGGGGGGAGCAGCAGGGCATAGCAGTTGCGCATGGGCGTAGGGCGCGAGGCCATGAGAGTTACAGCCGAGCGCACATGCCTCATTGATTGGCCCCCTGTGCTGCTGCTGCTGCTGCTGCTGCTGCTGCTGCTGCTGCTGCTGCTGCTGCTGCTGCTGCTGCTGCTGCTGCTGCTGCTGCTGCTTCTGCCGCTGCCGCTCCACGTGCATCATTGCTCGCTGGATGTCTGCCCCTCCTCCCCAACCTTCCCTTCATTCCTCTGCACGTCTGGGCAGGAGTCTGATTCTAAAGAACCTCACCGGCTCCATCCCCGCCGCCCTCTCAGCGCTCTCCCACCTGCACACGCTGTGAGTCGCACGCTGTGAGTCGCACACACGCCGTGAGTCGCACACACGCCGTGAGTCGCACACACGCTGTGAGTCGCACACACGCTGTGAGTCGCACACACGCTGTGAGTCGCACACACGCTGTGAGTCGCACACACGCTGTGAGTCGCACACACGCTGTGAGTCGCACATATAAGTCGCTCGCCAGGGGGCGTCCCGGGGCTTGTGAGTCGCCTCGCCCTCCCCCCATGCCACTTCCTTGCCTTTCCCCCCATGCCACTTCCTTGCCTTTCCCCCCATGCCACTTCCTTGCCTCCCTTCCATGCCATTCACTTCCCTCCCTTCCCTTTCTCTCCCCCCCCCCCCCCCCTTCCCTCCCCCTCCTCCACCTGTCAGCCACCCTCGGGCATTCCACCACCACCACCACAGCACTCCCCTCTGTCTCCCCACTCGCCTTCCGTCCTCCCTCTCGCATTCACCATCACCACAACATCCCCCATATTAGCTCGTGCCGCCCCGTTCGTGGCCGAGTTTGCGCAGTGAATGAATATCAACGACAGTATCCCCCCGGCTCTCTCCTGCAGTGAGTTGAGCTCCAATAACTTTCACGGGTCGCTGCCGCAACCCATTTTCCGCCTCACTGCCCTCGTAACCCTGTGAGCCCTTCCTCTCTCCACCCTCCACCTATTTCGGTGCAGTCCTCATTCTCCAACATGCATGCCATGCCATGCCGTGCCGTGCCGTGCCGTGCCGTGCCATGCCATGCCATGCCATGCCATGCCATGCCGTGCCGTGCCGTGCCGTGCCGTGCCATGCCATGCCATGCCATGCCATGCCGTGCCGTGCCGTGCCATCCCAACACATCCCAACCATCCCACCCGCGTTACACCATCCCCTCCCTCCTCCCCACCCCTCCTCCGCCTCCAACGCACAGGCGCATCAAGGAGACGGGCCTCTCTGGCTCGCTGCCCAATGTCATCAGCGGCCTCTCTTCCATTCAATCGCTGTAACCCACGCCTCTCTTCCATTGAATCGCTGTAACCCACGCCTCTCTTCCATTGAATCGCTGTAACCCACGCCTCTCTTCCACTCCACTGCACTACCTCTAACCCACGCCTCTCTTCCATTGCACTACGTGTAGCGCTCGCCTCTTCCCTGCACTACCTGTAGTGTTTTGACGCAGTAGCATGCCCCCCCCCCGTCCTTGCAGCTACTTGTGCTTTCCTGCCGCAAGCTGACTGCAAGTCACAAGCACAATCCATGTCTTCCTTGATTTCTTTCGTGTCCTTCAACTCAACGTATCCCCTTGTCGAGGCTTGCGTTGTCGCTTGCTTGCCATGGCATCACAGCACTTGCCTCCTCACTCTCCCCCTCATCACGTGTCTGCCTCTCATCGCATGTGTATGCAGCGTTGCTTGCACATATATATACTCCCCCTTGGATGTACATGCCTTTCGTGCGTGCGTGCGGCACTGGCACCATCAGCTAGTGTCAGTCAATGCTTGTGCCACGTTTGAGAATTCTCAAAAGTGACTTGCACATGTCTCTTGTATGTGCATGCATGTGTGCTTGCATGCTTGCATTGCATACTTGCGTGCGTGCGTGCTTGTGTGTGGCTGGCACGGACACCATCAGCGACTTGATAGGCAACAACATCTCAGGAAGCATCCCTGCCACCATTTCTGCACTCTCCAGCCTTGAGTACCTGTCAGTTGCCTCGAGTACCTGTCGGTTGCACGCGCACCCCCCCCCCCCCCCCCCCCCCGTCGTTTTTGCTCCTCTTCTTCCTCTGCTGCTCTGCTGCTCTTGGTCTGACGGCTTTGGGGCTGCTGGAGAGGGCTGAATGCGAATCCAGGAGCCCGGGTTGAAAAAAGGGCAATCCTCCCCCCCCGTTCCATCCCCCCTCCTCACCCCTGCCATCCCCCCTGCCCGCCCGCACTGCACGGCAGGGCGTTGAGTCACAACCCCCTCCTCTCAGGCTCCCTGCCCCGCGCCCTCTCTCGCCTCACCACCCTCGACCATCTGTCTGCTCAAACCCCACCCCCCCCCCCCCTCCCCCGTCTCCACTCCTCCTCCTCCCCTCTGCTACACTACACCTGTCCTCTCCTCTCCCTGCCTCCTCCCTTGCCCTTCTGCTTCCATTCATGCACTGGCCATCTCCCGTCTCACCCTCGTCCGCCTCTCGTCCCCCTCATGTCCCATCCCATGTCACTTCTTATGCTTTGTCCCATGTCCTTCTGGCTCCCTGCTTTGCTTGCCATCCCTCATCTCCCTTCTCCCCTCCTCGTTTCAGATCTCCTCTTCTCAATCCATCATCTCCCCTCCCCTATCCTCCTTCCCCACCCCCCTCCCCCCCAGCATGCTGGGCGACACGGCCATCTCAGGCGACCTGCCTGGCTTCCTCACCGCTCTAACGCGACTCGCCACCCTGTGCGCCCCTCACCACCCTCCGCGCCCCTCTCTTTGTCCCTCCCTGCACCTCTCTCCGCCCCTCTGCACCCGTTGTGCCGTTTCTACATCTCTAAGTCAGTCTGTCTCTAGTTCCTGCCATATCAACCACCTACCACCGCATCCAACCGATTCACCCAACGATTGTTGCCTCAAGCCACACCTTGCCTCCTGTTCTGCCATTGCCTTCCCTCCCACTTCCCCCCCTTCCCCCGTCCCTCTGTCCCGTGCTTTCTCCGTTTCCCAACCCTCATCCCATTCAGTGAAATGCTCAACACAAAGATCAACACAACCATGCCCGCCACCTATGGAACCTTGAAACTTGGCTCCTTGTGTGTTTGCCTCCCCTGCTTACGATCATCCCCTTGCAACCCTCTATTTCTCCTCATCCCCCTCGCAACTGTCACATTTCTAACCCACTACCGCTTTATATGTTTGATAATTTGTAAAGATATAAGCATAAAGATACATTCATTCAAATCCCTCTCAATCAGGACGCTTCAAATGATTCTAGTTTAGAAAAGCGCATACAACATAGGCCGGTGAATATCACTTGTATTTTGCATTTACATGAAGTATTCTACACCTCTTGTCCTTTTCCCGGTCTGGCCCCATGCATCCTCCACCTACTCCTGCTCTCTCTCAGTGGATCCACAGGGCTAAATTGCCCAATGGACAACAGCAGCTGTGTAATCAATCAGAACCGTTCATCCACGTTTTGCAACTTCTGCTCAACGTTCTGCGACACATGTATCTCGATCAACGGTCAGGATCGCCCCAATCCTGCACCCAGCACTGCTACGATCACGTCACACCATGCACATGCTTGTGCCATGCTCCTCCAATTTTTGAGTCGACTAAACAACGCTACAGTGTATCTCTCACGCTGTTGTTCCGCGAATCTGCCCTCCAGCATTCCCCGCCGCTTCCTCCCAGCCTTCCTCCCAGCCTTCCCTGCCATTTCATGCCAATTATCCCAGCCTTCCCTGCCATTCTCTAATTCCATCACATCCCATCCGCCCACCCATCCTCTGTTCCCCCCATCCCATCCCCTTCCCCCACCAGCACCAATCTCCAGTCCGCCTCCCCCTTCCCCTCCTCCCCCTCCGCCATCCCCCTCCCCCCCGCCTCCTCCCCCCATCGTCACCGTCCTCCTCGCCCCTCCTCCCCCTCCGCCCTCCTCCCTCCCACCGGCCACGATAGCGGGGATAGTAGTGGGTGCAGTGGTGGTGCTGCTGCTACTGCTGGTGGCGGTGGGATGGGGAGTGTGGAGGTGGAGGAAGGGGAGGGAGCAGACGGGGGAGGATTCGAGTGAGTGGGGAGGGGAGAGGAAGGGGAGATTATGAGTGCACATGGCATGAATACATGATTGCATGATGGCGTGGTGGTTGAAGCTTTTAATGCAACGTGTCGGCATGTGGTGTGCATGGTTGGGAACAGAGTGGTGCGAGTGTGTGGGGCGTTTTGCTCTCTTCCTCATTCCGCTACCCTCTTCTCCTCTCACCAACACCCCTTTATCAGCAAGTCTTCAAGGAAAACACAGAAACAAAATAACAAAAATGCGAAGCAAGAAACAAAACTCTCCTCTGCCCCTTTCTCACTCATCCTCCCAATTTCCCCCCCTGTTTTCCTTTTTCCCGCCCTTTCCCCCTTTCCCCTTCCAGCCACACCTTTGCTTAAACGCACACCCGCCTGCCCGCACATCCCCCTGGCGGACATCCTCAGAGCCACAAATGGGTGGGCGGAGGAACGGAGGATGGGGGGAGGCAGGTGGAGTGACGTGTACCGGGGGGAATGGGTGGAGGAGGTGGAAGCGGGGGATGGGGAGAAGCATGGGGGGGAGGATGGGGGGAAGGATGGGGGGAAGGATGGGGGGGAAACAGGAAAGAAGAAGCAGCAAGGGGGAGAGGTGCAGGGGGGGTCCCAAGGGAAGCGGGAGGGAAGCGGCAAGGGGGGAGGTTCACAGGGCAAGCGGGAGGGGAGCAGCAAGGGGGAAGTTGCAGAGGGGAAGCAGGTGTCAGGATCAGGGAGGAAGAAGCTTTCCTGGAGGCGGGGGGACAAGTGGGCAGTGAAGCGCATGAGGGGGGGGGCGCATGGGGCGGAGAGGGCGGAGCTTGAGGCTCATGTGGCGGGCTTGGCGTGCCTTGTGCACCCCAATGTGCTGGGGCTTGTGGCGTGGTGCTGCTTCCCTGCAGAGGGAGGGGAGGGGGATGGGGAGGAGGCGGTGGGGGAGGAAGGGGAAAATGAGGTGGTGTTGGTGTATAAGTGGATGGAGCGGGGCAGCTTGCAGGCAGCACTGCAGCCAGGTGCGCACCATAAGGCATGTGATGCCAATTAGCAACAAGTTGAACTCACCAATCGCCCTCACCAATCGCCCTCACCAATCGCCCTCACCAATCGCCCTCACCAATCGCCCTCACCAATCGCCCTCACCACTCGCCCTCACCACTCGCCCTCACCACTCGCCCTCACCACTCGCCCTCACCACTCGCCCTGCACCGAGCCCATCCTCTCCGCTTTTATGAGGGCGCCTCGCGCCTGCCCCATCGTACCTACCTCGTGTCGTGTCCATCCATCCATCCCCACACCCCACCGCCAGGCGCCACCCCTTTGTCGTTACAGCAGCGGGTGGACATAGCAGTGGGGGTGCTACTGGCGCTCAAGGCAGTGCAGAGCCACGGGCAGGTGCATGGCGACCTCAAGCCCTCCAACGTGCTGCTTAGCCCTTCCATTGAGGTGCGTGCTTCCTTTGAGGTGCGTGCTTCCTTTGAGGTGCGTGCCTTATCGGAATTCTCAAAAGTGACTTATGGATAGGTACGTGTCTTTTGAGAGTTCTCAAAAGTGAGTTAGATACAGGTGGGTGCATTTTTTAGAATTCTCAAAAGTGGCTTGGGTATAGGTGCGTGCCTTTTGAGAATTCTCAAAAGTTACTCAGATACTGCCGCTGCTTGATGAAATATATAAATGTGACTTAGATATAGGTGCATGCATTTTGAGAAGAGAATACACCCTTTCTTTATTTCACTCCCGCTCCTCGCCCTCCCTGCCTTTCCGCCATGTATTCCCCGCCCCCTCCCAGGCGCGAGTGGTTGACTGGAGTGTGGTGTGCATGGGGCAGCGCGTGCATGTGGACATGGGCGACAATGTCTTGGAAGGGCACCGGAAAGGCTTTGGCAACAAAGGCTTGGCAAGGAAATTTTCCTTGCCAAGTGGAGACAAAGGCACCAGCAGCAGCAGTGGCAAGATTGGTGGCAACAGTGGGTATTCCTGGGGGTCCGGTAGGAGCGGCAACAGCATCAGCAGCACTGGCGGAGGGGAGCAGAAGGTGTATTTGTTGCGGTGCACGGAGGGGCATGTGGACCCAGATGTGGTGCGCACCGGCTTTGCCACTCCCACCAGTGACATGTACAGGTGGGGCTTTATATTCACCTACCAGTGCAGGTGGGGCTTTAATCAGTGACAACCACAGGTGGGGATTTAATCAGTGACATGTACAGGTGGGGCTCAAGTGAGAAATCAGGTTAGTATATCTCAACCAACCAACGACTTTCTAGGGAGAAAAAATAAACCTTTTATAGAAAGGCATGCAACCATGGGAGGCATCAACCATAAACACCTTGTCGCAAGGGCCTTGTTCCGTAGATCCTAAACCTTAAACCCTAAACCTTAAACCCTAAACCCTAAACTCAAACCCTAAACTTGTACTGCGTTTGTGTCTGGGTAGCTTCCCCTGTGCAAATTGGGGAAAGCTTAGAGCCCTTGACATCGATATGAGAACACCGAACCTGGTTAATGTGAGTTGGGTACCGAACGTGTAAAACTGCAACTTTGATTGGTAAACAAGACTGACTGGAGGTTTGCCAAACAAGTCCCAGGTGATCGGATGGCATGCCATCCGGGATTTATTTTTTTTATGTCCGTCGGTCAGACGACGACGGCCGACGATCGAGGGTCGATGATGTTGACGAGAAAAGGCCCCGCCCTCGCTTGGGCGAAGCCGGCTTCGTGATCGGCTAGGCTTCGTGGTCAACGTCGACTTGGAGGAGCAGGTCGGCTTTGTTGGACGACCTCAGCGGAGCCGACTTCGGTGGTTGATCGACTTCGGTGAAGCCGAACTCTGCGAAAACGACGTCAACGAACGGCGAAGCCGACTTCGTCGTCCGGCGTGCAAGGTGTGCAGCCGACTGAGCTTCCTGGACGGCGCCGACTTGGAGGAGCGAGTCTGCTGGTCTGGTTAGCCGACTTCGGCGGAGCCGACTTCGGTGCGGCCGACCACAGCGAAGTCGACCTCGGTGACGCAGACGAAGTCGGCAAACGACCAATCTCGGCGGTCGACCTCGGTGACCGCCGACAGGCGCCGACCTACTGTCAAGTGGACGCCTACTTTGCGACATTATCTGGTAAAGCAATTAATATAGTCGACAAAGTTCTACGGGGGTGCGCGAACCTCGGCCAGGAGGCTTTGGCTTAGTCGATCTGCGTGTTGGTATCACGATATTGACGTGGCACATCTGGCGCAACCGTCGGCACATGGCCGACTTGGCACCTGCGTAATGTGCGTGATGGTGCACGACGTGCTCAAACGTCTACCTGCGCCTGTGAAGTAGGTGCGTGCACATGCGCATATAGTCATCTGCGGTTGCAACGCTGGCAAGGCGCCTTGCTGCAGCGTTTGCAAGCCGCCTTCGTGCAGTGCTGGCAGGTCACCGACTTGCGGTGTTGGCAAGCCACCTCCCAGCCGCGCTGGCACGCCATCGACTTGCAGTGCTGGCAAGCCGCCCTCGTGCTACGCTGGAGGTTGACCTGCCTGCTTGCTAGGTTGTCTTGCACCTGATGTAGCCAACTTTGCCATAGCTTTTTGCTCGATCACTCGTACCACCCGTGCCTTCCTACGTAGTTCAGCTACCCAATGTAGAGTGACTCTCCGCAGGTGACGGCCCTTGGTTCCGAACAAACGGGACCGTCGTCAGCTTGTCCGTAGAGACATACAGTGACATGTACAAATAGGCCTTTAATCAGTGACTTTCATACTTATACATGGAGGGCTTTACTCTACTTGCCTCTCCACCTAGGATTGAACTCTTTCTATTATAGAGGTGTTGCCATTGCCCCACATCAGCGTGTTGCCATTGCTCCACATCAGTGTGCTGGCTGCCTGAATTGCCTTCACGAAGTGGCACCTTCCCACTCCCTCCTCCCCCTCTTCGCCTCCCTTCTCCCCTCCCTCTCCCCATCTCCACCCCTTCTGACCCTCCCCGTTCGACTCCGCCCTCCGTTCGCCAGTGTGGGAGTGCTCCTGCTACAGCTGCTCACAGGGTGGGAAGGTCCCTTCAGGGATGTGGATGGGCAGCGCATCCACATCTACCACTGGGTGCGTGGGGCTCTGGGAATCAGGGCATGGCATGGCATGGCATGGCATGGCATGGCATGGCATGGCATGGCATGGCATGGCATGGCAAGGATGGCATGGCATGGCATGGCAAGGATGGCATGGCATGGCATGGCAAGGATGGCATGGCATGGCATGGCATGGCATGGCATGGCATGGCAAGGATGGCATGGCATGGCATGGCATGGCAAGGATGGCATGGCATGGCATGGCATGGCATGGCAAGGATGGCATGGCATGGCATGGCAAGGATGGCATGGCATGGCATGGCATGGCATGGCATGGCATGGCATGGCATGGCAAGGATGGCATGGCATGGCATGGCATGGCAAGGATGGCATGGCATGGCATGGCATGGCAAGGATGGCATGGCATGGCATGGCATGGCATGGCATGGCATGGCATGGCATGGCATGGCAAGGATGGCATGGCATGGCATGGCAAGGATGGCATGGCATGGCATGGCAAGGATGGCATGGCATGGCATGGCATGGCATGGCATGGCATGGCAAGGATGGCATGGCATGGCATGGCAAGGATGGCATGGCATGGCATGGCATGGCATGGCATGGCATGGCATGGCAAGGATGGCATGGCATGGCATGGCATGGCAAGGATGGCATGGCATGGCATGGCATGGCAAGGATGGCATGGCATGGCATGGCAAGGATGGCATGGCATGGCATGGCATGGCATGGCATGGCATGGCAAGGATGGCATGGCATGGCATGGCATGGCAAGGATGGCATGGCATGGCATGGCATGGCAAGGATGGCATGGCATGGCATGGCATGGCATGGCATGGCATGGCATGGCATGGCATGGCATGGCAAGGATGGCATGGCATGGCATGGCAAGGATGGCATGGCATGGCATGGCAAGGATGGCATGGCATGGCATGGCATGGCATGGCATGGCATGGCATGGCAAGGATGGCATGGCATGGCATGGCATGGCAAGGATGGCATGGCATGGCATGGCATGGCAAGGATGGCATGGCATGGCATGGCAAGGATGGCATGGCATGGCATGGCATGGCATGGCATGGCATGGATGGCATGGCATGGCATGGCATGGCAAGGATGGCATGGCATGGCATGGCATGGCATGGCAAGGATGGCATGGCATGGCATGGCATGGCATGGCATGGCATGGCAAGGATGGCATGGCATGGCATGGCAAGGATGGCATGGCATGGCATGGCAAGGATGGCATGGCATGGCATGGCAAGGATGGCATGGCATGGCATGGCATGGCATGGCATGGCATGGCATGGCAAGGATGGCATGGCATGGCATGGCATGGCAAGGATGGCATGGCATGGCATGGCATGGCAAGGATGGCATGGCATGGCATGGCAAGGATGGCATGGCATGGCATGGCAAGGATGGCATGGCATGGCATGGCAAGGATGGCATGGCATGGCATGGCATGGCATGGCATGGCATGGCATGGCAAGGATGGCATGGCATGGCATGGCATGGCAAGGATGGCATGGCATGGCATGGCATGGCAAGGATGGCATGGCATGGCATGGCAAGGATGGCATGGCATGGCATGGCATGGCAAGGATGGCATGGCATGGCATGGCATGGCAAGGATGGCATGGCATGGCATGGCATGGCAAGGATGGCATGGCATGGCATGGCAGGGCAGGGCAGGCATGGCAGGGCAGGCATGGGATGGCATAGACCCACCTCCCCCTCTTCCCGCTCCCCACTTCCCTTTCCCCACCTCCCCCACCTCCCGCTCTCCCCCCTCCCCCACCCACAGGCCCGGCAGCACGCAGAATCCGACGACATCTCTCCTCTCCTCGACCCGCTGCTGCCACACCCCCCGCCCCCTCCCGCCACCCTCCTCCCCCTCTTCCGCCTCGCCCTCGCCTGCTCCTCCCCCTCGCAGTCCGCCCGCCCCACCCCCGTATCTGCCCTGGATGTTGTTCGGCTCGTTCGCACCTCCCTGCTGGAGGGGTCCCGATCTGGAAGGGGAATTGGGGGTGAAACAGGGGAAAAGGGAAAGGGGCAGGGGGGAGAAAAAGGGGAAAACGGAGAGGGGGAAGGGGGAGGAAGGAGAGATGATGAAGGGAAGAATGAAGGGGGGGGGAGGGGGAAGAGTGGGGGGGAATGGAGTGGGGTGTCCATTGGGGAAAGTTCCGAGGGAGCGGCGGAACAGAGTGTTGACAATGCAAGGCTGCCATTAGTGGGTGCAGCAGAGGATAGTAGTAGGGAGTCTATGGTGTAGACGGGTAGGTGTTATCTGTTAGTGTCTTGCCGTGTAGACCGGAGCAGGTGATATCTGTCAGTGTAGCCTAGGAAACACACTACTGAGAACACGTTCCATGTACAGGTATACTGTACAATACAGCCAGGCCCCATGAAGTCAGAGAAATTTCTCTGATTAGCCTATAAAAGTCTGATATTTCAGACTTTTTTTTTAGTGTTGTCTGTTAAATTCAGACTTTTTTTAGCCTCAACTCTGTAACTTTCAGAGTTTTTTTTAAGCCAACTCTGCAATTTCAGAGATTTTCTTGAGTGTACTCTGATAATTCAGAGTCAAACGCGTACCGACTCTGAAACTGATTCAATGTACCTTGGCACCGACACCCACGATTTGCGCTAGTACGTGTACCTGGGCCGTCAATCACGCGTAACCTGGGACCACACATCAACAGTCAAGTTTTGTGGGCGTGGCCGCCCTGCGACGCGGATTTTCCCACGTAAACACCAGCGCACACCCTGCTAGAGCACCGATTGGTCCTTATGGCAGCTTCTGTGTGCCATCACGGACCGGCCTTGCACCCACGACACAATGCTGACAGCATTGCACTTCTGACGCGCCTCGTCGTAGCCGTGCATGCTAGGCAACCACCCACCACCCACCTCAACGACTCCTTGTCTTGTATATTGCCATCACCTTTCAGCTAGGGTTTCATCCACACCCCCTAGCTGGTGTTGACTGGACTCAGCCAGTCCCTAGTTCTGCCTCGCGAACACATTTCTTGTTCCTGCTCGGCAGGCTCTTTCTGAACCCCGCCATGGCGGTGCTGGACAATCCCGGCTCCAGCGATCCCGACCCTGATTCCCAGCCTGCCTTAACAGGCTTAGACTTTCTTCTCAGTACGTTAGAACTCGATAAGGCAGCACGCGCCACGCCCGATACGATCCCCACACAGAAAGAACCCACGGCACCGGTTATCTCACTGTCTGCCGACCCTGTGGCAGAGACAGCTGCGGAACCAACTGTCGCATCGGCCTCGCAGCATCCGACTCTGACCACGGCGCGCACGATCCGGCTCAAGCAGGCGACATTGAGCTTCTGCAAGGCATCGTCATCGTCCGCCAACGTCAACGCCCCCGGAACATCTGAGCGACCGCGTCCACGCCGTAACATCAATCTGGACGAGCTCATCGAAGAAGTCTACGATGAGGCGATTGACAAGTTTAAGAGTCACTGGTCTGCTCGTTTTCCGTGGCTTCGGATCACTAAAGTCGCCTCTGGTTTGCCTGCGTTCAAGTGTACTGTGTGTGTGTCATTTGCTGGCGATGCAGGCAAGTGCGGGAGGGGTGGGAGAGGTACTACCGATTTGCAGACACAGTCGTTTCGGAAACATGCTGGCACGGCGAAGCACAAGCTGGCGATGGCGAGGTTGACATCTGCGCAGGAGTGCCGGGCGACGCAGCCGCTTATCGACCAACATCGCGCAACGGTTGATACTGAGAAGCTGCGCATCATCGCCCTTCTCGACTCGTTGCTGTTCATCAGCAGGTCCGACGCGCCCATGGGGATGTGGGTGAAACTGGTGCGGTATCTGACGGAGAAGGGCGTGCAGGGCTTCCCGAAGAAGGGTTACGGCACGTACTATACGACGTGAGTGATGAACACTTTATGTGAGCTTCTGTAATAATATGTGTTTCCAGTAATTACGTCAATGATTTGATACTCACTGTTGTTTCCTGTTGCAGATACGGCTTCGGTGAGCTGACGCAAGCGACAGCAACATGGCTCCAGACAACCCAGCTGGATCACGTGCTGGCGTCGCCCTTCGTCGGCATCTCGATCGACGAGAGCACTGATAGGTGCAGCGGGAAGCACCTTATCATCTTTATCACCTTCATCCGCGAGTTCAAGCTTGTCACGGAGTTCATGGCCCTAATCACCGTGGACAAGGCCGACGCAGCCTCTCTTCTGGCTAGCTTGGTGTCACACCTGCAGGCGGTGGGGATCGACCTTCAGAGAATTGCAGGCATCAGCACCGACGGTGCGGCAGTCATGATGGGCAAACAGTCTGGCCTCACGACACGCCTCCGCCTGCGCATCCCACATTTGGTGTCATCCCACTGCATCGCGCACAGGTACTGTCTGGAATGTTTGTGCCTAATCGTGCAGTGCAATGTTTACATATTCTATTTGACGGTCTCACTAATGTCCTTCACTCGTGTTGTACAGGGAGGCACTGGCGGCTAAAACTGCCGCCGAGAAAATCCCCGCCTTCAACGTCATTGACAAGGTGATTCGGACAGTGGCAGAGCATCTCGGCCGCTCTGGGCCATGGCACCAGCGCTTCATGGGCTTGCAGGAAGTTTTCACGTCAACTTCACTGGAGCTGCAAGGCATTCATACCGTCCGCTGGCTATCGAGGGGTGACGCGGTGCAGAGGCTTCTGAAAGTGTTGCCGGCTCTCATCGTGATGCTGAAGGAGTGGGACGCGGAGCTGTATGCGCTCGTGACAAGCTACAGGTTTCAGTTTCTCCTGTTTTTCATAGCAGACGTGCTTGAGCAGCTCAACATCTTGAACAGGGCCTTCCAGCACAAAGAGGTGAGCTCAATGTTATAGTGTCCTATCATTGTTGTTACATGCTTGGTCAATATCCTCTTCTGCTAAGTTCTAGTGCTGCTTCTTTCCAGCATGCTTACCGTGCGCATGAGCTAACTACCTTGTGCCTTGTTTCTGTCCAGCTTGACTATGTGGGCGTGCAGGCACAGATCAAGCGCACAACGTCCCACATCGAGAGCCGCTACGTCGATTGCGGCGACGACTTCGGTGGCGGCGTCAGCGAGCTGCTGTCCCCCTTCATCACGCGCCACGGCCCAGGAGGAAACAAGGATGTTACTGTCGAGGGTGTCGACTCGGACGGCCGCCCTGCACGCTTCACCTTCAGGCTGCATGAGGACGAGCATGAGGACTATGATGGGCCTGGGACCCACGATGCTTGCATTGAGGTCTGCACCGAGTTCGCCGAGGTGATCGTGCACCAGCTGCTTCATCGGCTTGGCGATCTGGAAGGGATGTCTGGGGCAAGGCTTTTCGCCCCCGACGAGTACCCGCTGGAGCGAGGAGAGAGGAACCGCAGGTGCATGGAGTGGCTGGAGTCGCTTGTGACCCTCTTCAAGGCCGACCTGACCGAGGAGATCCTGCCCGGTAAGCCCATGTTTGTGTACTTCACATGTAACAGTTGTAATTGACATTGCATATGTTGTGCTTCACTGTAAATTCACTAAGCATCGTCTACTGTTACTCTTCCTCCCCCACCAGGAATCAACAAGCGTCGTGCGGAGAAGGAGCTGCGCATGTTCTCCTCGGTGCTTGCAGCAACCACCAAGAACGAGCGCAGCTTCCACGCGGGGCTCACTGCCATGCTCAAGACACCCGACTGGCGGGACAACTACCCCAACCTCGTGCTTCTGTGGGTGGCGGTAGCCGTACTGCCGCTGAGCACAGTGGAGTGCGAGAGGGGATTCTCCCGCGAGAACATCATCAAGTCGTGGCAGAGAGGCGCGCTGAAAGATGCACGCCTAGGAGACCTCATGTGCATGAGTCTCATGGACTACGAGCCCAAGTGGGATGAAATTGTGACCATCTGGAGGAGCTACAAGAAGCGCAAGCCCCAAAGCAACGCTCCACTCCCGCCTGCAGGAAGGAACAAGAAGGGAAAGGATGTTGATGAAGAGATGGAAGTGGTAGACTTAGACGCTGAGAAAGATGCAGTTGACAGTGATGATGACGATGGATTTGCTGACTGGATGTAGGTAGGGTAATTAGTTAGTTAGTTCTATTCTAACTGTGAACTTGTGAAGGCTAAGCAGCAGCATTAGTAGTAGTAGTAGTGTGAATGTAGGCACAGCTGTATGAGAAGTAGGCTTGCTTCAATATGACTACTAGCCTACTAGGGCTACAACAAGCACAATCAGACTTTTACTTGAGTGTACTCTGAAAGTTTCAGACTTTTTTTTAAACTGACTCTGCACAATCAGACTTTTTTTTTTAACGACTCTGAGAATTTCAGACTAATACTGAGAGAGAGTCTGACGAATCAGACAGGCCAAAAACGAATCTGAGGGCCTGAATACAGCTCATTACCTTATCTGCTTCTGCAATTGTCCAAATATTTATGGCATTCCTCTCTGTTAGGTATTCCTTTTCATATCAACCAAGTGCAGTGAGGGCACAGGTTCTGACTCCTGCCCTGGCCAGGACATCCACCTGCCCAGCCCAGCCCAGACTAACCGGCAAACCAGTTAACCATTTCATTTACAGAGAGCGCCGTGCGTGCAACAGCAAGTTCACAACCCGTCTCTTCACTAGCAACAACAATTCACACAACCAGCAGAGGCTACGTGTGTTCCACTGTTCATCCCCAGCTGGCAGCGGGCATAGAATGGGGCTTTAAGCGCTGGTGACGGTGACCTCGACCTCGACCCCCGGCTCGATGGTGATGGACGTGATCTGCTTCACCACCTCCGATGGGCTCACCAGGTCGATCACACATGCACTTGCCTACCCTTACTTTCACACCCACTCGTAATGGTAACCAACACCAGACTGCGCATTTTATCATTTCATTTACAGAGAGCAACGAGCACCCAACACGGTAATCAGCACCTGTCTCTCCACTAGCAACGTCACATAATCAGCAGCAGGCTACATGTGGGCGACTGTTCACCCTACTGGCAACGTGCACAGGCTTTAAGCGATAGAGGGGCTTTAAGCGCTGGTGACGGTGACCTCGACCTCGACCCCCGGCTCGATGCTGATGGACGTGATCTGCTTCACCACCTCCGATGGGCTCACCAGGTCGATCACGCGCTTGTGCACGCGCAGCTCAAACGTGTCCCACGTGTTCGTTCCTGCAAAGGGGAGGGGAGAGGGGAGGGGAGAGGGGGGAAATGGGAAAGAACAGGGGGTGTTGGAGGGTGTTGAAGGGGCATTGGGGCTCACCGGGTTGATCACGGCTTGTGCGGTCGCAGCTCAAACGTGTCCCGCGTGTTCGTGTCTGGGGGGAGGGGACAGACGGAGGGGGAGATGGGAGGGGGAGGGAAGGGGCGGGAGGGGGCGTGGAAGGGCATTGAGGTTCACCAGGTCGATCACGCGCGTGTGCACGCGTAGCTTTAGTGTGTAGCTGTCCAGTATGTACATTCATACGTCTACACGCTGGAGGCTCTAACCTTCACTCAGCGCCGCGGCACCCCTTCACTAGGCGTCGCAGCGCTCCTCGACTCACCCTAACCACCCGACTCACCATTGCCGCAGGCCGTCCTTTCAACTCGACCCTCACTCACCCTAACCAGCACCACCCCTTTCCCCTCCGACTCACCGTTGCCGCAAGGCGACTTGCGCGTGGTGTGGCGCAGCACCTTGGTGGGCATGCGCACGGGGCCCTTCACCTTGAGGCGCTTCTCCTTGGCTCCGCGCACCAGATCGGCGCACACTGCGCGGAGGCACGTCAGGGATGATACGCGGAAGGGGGGGGGGGGGGGGGGGGGGGGGTGTGGGTAAGGGTGAGAGACGAGACAGCAGGTGAGATAAACGAGCGGAGCAACAGAGCTTGGGAACTATAAAAGAGTCATGAAAACGTTACACCATCATGCCACGCCGCAGCTGCCGCCGTGAGGGCGACAGCTTATCGCCGAGGGCTGGACCAAACCCGAAACCGCGTCAACAGCAGAATAAAGCTTCTCAAAATCTAGCAATCGAGTCGATGCAAAGCGAAGAACTCAGCTAGAAAAAGGGAACTGTTGAAGTTAACAAAAAAAAAACAAACAAACAAAAACAAACAAATCTGGGAGAACTGAGGGACGACAGCACTTGCGCAATTCCCACACAAGCCCGCCCAGCGGCCGCGCGCAGCATGCAGCAGGCAGCAAGCACGGATTCACGAGTTTATATGCACTGACCCTTCTCGAGGCTCTTGACGTTGTTCATGCAGCTGAGCGTAATGCGGATGTTCTGCACCTGCTGCTCCACCGGGGTCTCCTCCAGCCCCGCCTTAGCGGACTTCACGGGCGGCGGCACGCCTGCCATGATGCCTTGCTTTGCTAACCTGGACGAAACGACAAAAGAGACATGGTTTTGTTGGTCCGCACGCTAATCTTCGCCGTCGATCGGCATCCGCTACCGGGCTATAATCAGTCGATCACATAGCGGAAAATCGCACTAGTAGGATTGAAGGCTTGCATGCTACTAGAGGATCATGCGGACGTTCTTACTTGTCTTAGATTGACGAATGAGCGCTCCCCCGAGACAGACGCCGGAGAACCGACCGCTTGCTGAGGGGTTTAGCGATGAGAAAGAAAGAACGTGAAAGGAGGAAAGAGGGAGGGCGTGTGGCTCTTATGCTGGGTGAGGGAGGTGGGGTGGGGTCGTGGGGAAGAGATCGATTCACTGGATACTTGCTATACCCGTACTACGATAGCAGCAATAGAGATTCTTCCGAACACTTTATATTGAGTCATATACTCAAGCGTGAGGACTTTCCGTAAGAAATAATGAATTTAGAAAGTGAAGAAGAAAATTTAAGTCCAGGTTAAAGCTTTCCATAAAGCAAACACTCCAAAAATTGATGATGAGTTTGCCAAAATAAATAAATGCGATACGTCTCAAGAGTGGTTAGCAACGGAATGGTTGGAATAGAAACGAATGGGGTACAAATAAGCAACCCTAGAAACTGTACCCCCTAGAGTGCAACTCACTACAGCCTATCATATCAATGTTCAACATTTGACACACCCCCATAGGCTAAGTGAGGGGCATCAAAGCAAGCAAGGTGAACAAACGGTCACAAGACCAGTCAAAGCAAGAACCAAGACAAGCTCAGGGTGGATCTCAAGGACACCACACAAATTCCGAGCGCAAGCAAGCGGCCACAAGGCCAGTTCAAGAGTTCACTAGGATATAAATACAAGGCACAACAAGCAGAGCAAGCAACAGGACTACATCAACCGAGGGCCTACCTCAACTAGCCCCAACTGCACACAGAACCTGTGGTGGTCACCAAGCGCCAAGGCCTTGGTGAAGACGTCTGCAGTGTTGGCCTCTGAGGCCACAAAGTCCAGGCGTGCCTGGCCGCGTCGCTGCAGCTCTCGCAGGAGGAAGTACCTCACGTCAATATGCTTCACTCTGCTCTCCAGTCGAGGCTCTCGACACAGGAGGATCATGGCCTTGTTGTCAGCGTACAAGGTCGGTGCAGAGCGAGGCCGCTCACCAAGGTCGGCGAGCAAGAAGGTCAACCAGCGAAGCTCCTGTGCCGCCATGGCACCCGCGTAGATCTCTGCCTCTGCACTGGAAGTAGCCACAGACGACGACCGTGTAGACCTCCACGACACAGCACCAGCTCCCAGACTGAAGCAGTAACCCTGAGTCGAGCGCTGAGTCTCCACGTCGTCAGCGTAGGAAGAGTCACAGTGACCAGTCAACGCCACTGGCCGAGTCCCTCCAAGCACAAGCCCCATGCCTGATGTAGTCGCCAGGTACTTCGCCACCCTCACAGCAACTGTCCAGTGGACAGGGCGGTGTCTCCCAGTCGCAACAAAGCGAGAAAGGATACTGAGGGGAAAGGCGAGGTCCGGTCGAGTACAAGTCATCAGGTACATGAGGCAGCCCACCAGCTCTGCGTAGGGTCCACTGGACTCAAAGGGCTCGTCAGGAAAGGGGCCCGTGAGTCTGTGGTCAACAGCAAGAGGAGTGGGCTGAGTGGTGGAGAACTGGAAGTCGAACCGCCGAAGGACCTGCTGCACCATGTGTGACTGCGTCAGTGTGATGGTGCGAGCGGCTCTGTCCCGGGTGATCTGCAAGCCAAGGGAAGGCTGCAACTCACCCAGGTCAGTGCACTTGTGTCTCTTCTGCAGTTCGGACTTCACCTGAGCCAGGGCTGCCCTGTCTGCTGTAGCAAACACCAAGTCGTCGACGTAGACAAGGATAAAGAAAGGAGTAGAACCCACTCGAACAAACAGCGACGGGTCGGCGGAGGACGGGCTGAACCCAAGGTCACGAAGCGTGGAGCGAAGAGTGTCGTGCCACTCACGGGGCGACTGGCGGAGACCGTAGACTGGTCGCCTCAGGCTCCACTGGGTCCCAGGTGGGAAGGAGTCAGTGAATCCAGGAGGACGGCGCAGCCAGATCTCCTCGTGCAGTCGGCCCTGGAGGAACGCAGTGGAGAAGTCGAGAAAGTGCAGCTCGTAGTCTCGCTGCGCTGCTATGTGGAGTAACACCCGAAGAGTAGTCATCTTCGGGGTCGGGGCGAAGGTCTGGAAGAAGTCAACTCCCTCACGCTGACTGAAGCCCCTAGCCACGTAGCGCGCCTTGAACACCGGCGGTGCTCCAGGCGGCCGCTTCACCTTGAAGAGCCACATGCCATCGACTACGTTCGCCCTGGGAGGGGGAACTGCGTCGACGTAGGTGCCTGTGGATCTCCAAGACGCCAACTCTGAGTCCATAGCCGCTTTCCACTGAGAGGCCCACGCCCCTGACACTGCCTCGCGGTAAGTGCGAGGAGTCGGTATGTCAAGGGCGTCGGGGTCTCCCTCAGGGGAGAGCAGCATGGCACACACAGAGGGAGAAGCGGCTGCCCAGTACTCCAGCTCAGACTCTCTGTCCTCTAGGACGTCACAGCCAAGGGCAAACCCACCCCCGACGGACAGAGGACGGTAGGGAGGAGCTGGCACCACACGGGTGGCGTAGTCAAGGCGGCTGACGGCAGCAAACTCAGCGACAGCGGCAGTAAGAGCAGAGACCGACGACGGAGGGAAACGAGAGTCGGTGACAAGAGTGGCGAGGACACGTGCGGCAACAGGACGAACAGTGCGGTAGTAGTCAGTGATAGGAGTGGGGAGGGCTGGGAGAGAGGACGGAGGAGGAGACGGGAGAACGGACACAGGAGAAGGAGAACGACGACGAGACGTACAAAGGAGGGCAGTGTGGAGGTCAGTAACAGGGGACGAGTGACGAGCACGCGGAGGACAACGAGTGACCAAGTCGCGACGGACCGAAGGAGGAGGAGACTGGGGAGGAGGAGAAGTCCAGACCGCCGGACGGTCGTCAGGAGGAGGCAACGGAGGAACAAACATAGGAGGAGACTGGGAGCGGACAGAAGGAGAGGAGGAAAAACCAAGGGCCCGCAGGCCACTCACAGGTGGGAACAACCGCCGCTCCAGAGGAAGCTGCGGTGGGGCTGCTGCTGCTGCGGCGGGGGCTGCGGCTGCGGCTGCTGCTGCTGCGGCTGCTGCTGCGGCTGCTGCTGCTGCTGCTGCTGCTGCTGCTGCTGCCGCTGCTGCTCCAGAAGGTCCAGCACCCGCAGCTCCTGCCGCTCCCTCTCCAACCGCTCCTACTCCTCACGCTCACGCCGGCGGGCAGCCTGGAGTCGTGTGTCGTGGCGGTGGGGAGGCGGAGTGGACTCCGCAGAACCAGGGTCAGACTCCTCAGACTCAGCACCCCCAGAACCAGCACCTCCAGTGTCCGGACCTCCAACTCCAGCACCCCCAGAACTAGCACCGCCAGTGCCAGCACCTCCAGCTCCTGCACCCCCAGAACTAGCACCACCAGTGCAAGCACCTCCATCTCCAGCACCCCCAGAGCTAGCGCCACCTGCGCCAGCACCTCCAGCTCCAGCACCCCCAGAGCTAGCGCCACCTGCGCCAGCACCTCCAGCTCCAGCACCCCGCGACCGAGTACCCCCAGACCGAGCACCGCCAGTGGCTGCACCTCCAGCTCCAACACCAACCGAGTCCACAGTAACCTGTCGCGGAAGTGCCGAAGGCTGCTGAGGGGACTGTGAGGAGGACTGCGGGGAGGGAGACGCTACCTGACGCGCGACCGAGGGTAGAGGGGTAACGTGGGACACACCAGACGGGGCAGGACCAGGGGGGGGCGGGGGTACCGGAGGAGCGGGAGTAGGAGGAGGAGAGGGTGCGAGGAAAAGAGGGGGAGGGTACCGGGTGTAGTAGGACACGGACTCGTCAAACCGAACGTCACGGGAGTCGAGGAACTGGTGGAGGGGAGGGTGGTAAAAGGACCAGTCGGCAGAGTCCACTGGGAAACCAAGGAAGACACAGGGGACGGCGCGTGCCGAGAGCTTGTCCGCGGAGGTGTCGCGAACAAGTGCAAGGCAGCCCCAGACTCGAAAGGCCGACCCGACACCAGGGGAACCAGTCCAAAGACGGGTCGGTGAAACCTCGGGCCGCGAGACACGCGGCTGGAGATTCAGCTGGTGTGCGGCGTAGCGAACCGCGTGGGGCCACAGAAAATGGGGCGCACGGGCATGGATCATGGACGTGCGGGCGATGTCCATGACCAAGCCTATGCGGCGCTCAGCAACCCCATTCTGCTGTGGGGACTCTGGCAGCGTCCATGTTCGCCGCAGAATCCGCCGAGAATGCCGGAGCGAAACTCGCCCCCACGGTCGGAGTGGAGACAACTGACTCGACGACCACGAGTGCCCTCAGTGGCTAGAAGCCACCTGATCAGCGTAGCAGTCACCTCGGACTTCTTCGCAAGAGGGAACACTGTGGTGTACCTGGAGAAGTCGTCGACGACCACCAGAAAGTAACGCTCCCTCCCAGACCCCTGCGTCGGGGCAGGGCCCCAGACGTCCAAGTGGAGAGTCTCGAAGGGAGCGGTGGCCGGACGAAGGGAGGAGGAGTGGGGAGTGGCGCGTAAGCGACCGGCGACGCACGGAGAGCAAGGAGGGGCAGGCGAGAGAGGGAGCGACGGGAAGGTGCGTGGGAGACCTGAGACAAGTCCCTGACTGAGCATGCCACGTAGGCGAGGGAGCGACGGGTGGCCAAGGCGGTGGTGCCACAGGACGGTGCGGTGGGTGAGAGAGCGACAGGAGCAAGACGCAGCGACTGGACTGGACACAGCGACCGGACCGGACACTACTACCTGGCTAGACACAGCAACTGGACTGGGGACCTGGGCCGGAGGGGACGCAACGACCTGAGGGGAGGACGCGACCGGGGAGCTCTCGGTGTGGAGGACGTAGAGACCGGAGCGGGGCTCCCTGGTGAACGTGGCCAGAACAGCACCTGTGGTAGCGTCTGTACAGACTGCAGTCCGCCCACCCCCCACGAAGGTAACCGTGATCCCCCTGTCCTGGAGGTATCCAACACCCACCAAGTTCCGAGTGAACGAGGGGATGTGGAGGCCGCGCAGGACACCAGAGGGGACCACAGGGCACGGGAGGGTGGTGGAGCTACGCGCAACAGCTGGTCCAGAGGTAGGATCAGCCAGAGCCACCGACACAGGTGTGAGGAGTGGCGTAAGGGTCGTGTGGTCGCGGAAGAAGCACTGAGACGCGCCCGAGTCCAGCGTGAACGACAGAGAGGCCTCAGCCGGAGGGTCACCAGACCCAGTCGCTACACAAGCACCTAGAGCAGCAACACAAGCACCTAAGCTAGACAGGCACAAGGCTACACTAGCAGGAGGCAAGCAGGCTAACCTACGAACACGCGAGCACACAGATCCATCAGCACTAAAGTCAGCATCAACATACAAAGCATGCTGACGCGCATCGTCCATGGACAGATCAAAGACATCAATCTTACGGGCTAACAGACGAGACCAGCGAGGCGTGACCGCCAGAGGGCCCCAACGAGCCCGGTAGAGGTCGTCGAGGCGGCGGAAGCACCGCGCGGCAGAGTGGTCGTCGCGACCACAGAGACAGGGGCTGCCCGACCCGGTGACGCACCAGTGGGTGCAGGGGCCAGCGTCACGGCGAGGGGGGCGAGGGGCCCAGCTGGAAGAGCTGCTGCTGCGGCCGGTGCTCCCAGGGCCTCCCGGACCCCACTGCGGCGGGGGACCCCAGTGCTGCTGCGGACCCCACTGCAGCGGGGGCCCCCACTGCTGCGGTGCCTGCTGCTGCTGCTGCTGTCCCAGCTGTTGCTGCTGTCCCTGCTGTGGCTGGTGCTGCTGTGGCTGCTGCTGCTGGGGGGCAACGCCCCCACCGGTCGGGCCACCACCTGTGGGTGGGCCTGTCTGTCCTGCACCTCCTCCAAGGCCCCCTCCCCCTGGTGCACCACCGCCGCCGCCGCCGCCGCCGCCTCCGCCACCACCGCCGCTCCCACCTCCACCGCCACCTCCTCCGTCGCCTCCACCGCCCCCACCTCACCCCTTCCCGCCCTTCTTGCCACTCTTGCCCCGTTTCTGCCATTCTGCGGCAGAAACGGCAGCAGTGTCCTCAGAGACCGACACAGCAGCAGAAGCGCGGGTAGCGGTGAAAGTGGGAAGCTGAGGGGCGGCACACCCCGCAAAGAGACGGGGGGCCACCGCATCAGTGGCGGAGGCAACGGTGAGGAGACTGCTCTCGATGGTCCCTAGAGCAGTCGCTAGGAGGTCGATAGTGAGCTCAGTGGGGTGCTTCTGAAGAAGCGCGTCGCGGGCAGTGGCAAGGCGGTCAGGGAGGCGGGTGACTAACCAGTGAACAGTGAGCCATATGGGGGGGGGAGCAACAAGAAGCTGTGCGTCGTTACAGGCAGCGCGGAAACCGGCGTCAAGCGAGCGGAGGTGAGTCACTAGGTCGGAAACAGTCGCAAACGAGCCTAGGTCGGGAAACACAAACGGCATGAGGAGGCGACTGAGGGAGGCAGAGGAGGGGGTGGAGTAGCGAGCAACAATAGCCTCCCAAACCCCCTGTGCAGTCTCCACCTGGTCAAAGTGGGCGGCCTCAGTCGGGGGGAGAAGCTCCGACAGAGTGAGAGCGGCGGCTGCGTCACGCGAGAGCCACACGTCCCTGGCCAGGACCCGACGGTCGTAGTCCGCCTGGGCCGTAGGGGTCGGCTCCGGGGCGGTCGGCAGGGCGGCGGGGGACGGGGGGGCCTGTAGGGCACCAGACGCGTGAGCCCACAGAGTGGCGCCGTCCTGTCGCTGGCTGGTGAGGAAGCGCGTGGTCTGGCGCTGCCAGGTGCTAAACTCTATCGGGCGTCCCTCCGCGTCGAAACGGAGGCGACGAGACTCCATGACTGATGCCATGCTAGAGGCGGCTGGATCTCGGCAGAGGCTGAGCTAAGAACGAGGAGGAAACCTACGGAGCGCCAGGAGGGAGAACGGCGGAGTGAGAGGCTAGGAGCACTGAGTGACCTAGGCTAGACGTGAAACGGAGGATCTCCAGCTACAACGGCTAGGGGCGCGATACTAGCGGCTAAACGGCTCGAACCTAGGCGGGCGGCGAGAGAGAGCGGCTGCCAGCCGCTAGGTGATAGACCAGTGTCAGTAGAGCTGGGGAGGGCCCCGCGCACAAGGCGGTGGCGGGGCTAGGGCGCGGGCCAAGGGTGGGTAACAGGAAGAGAGGGGCGGGGGGGGGGAGTTTGCGACGGTGGAAATGGGCGGGGAGGGCGGTTTTGACGGTGGGAATGGGCGGGTAGGGCGGTTTTGACGGTGGGAATAGGCGGGAGGGCGGTTTTGACGGTGGGAATGGGCGGGAGGGCGGTTTTGACGGTGGGAATGGGCGGGGAGGGCGGTTTGACGGTGGGAATACGGGCTAGGTCGAAGGCTGGGGCGACGGGCTAGGGTGTACGGGCCGCGCGAGGGCAACGGGCAGGGCGCACGGGCGCCGCGACGGGCTGGGGCAGAGCCTACGGGCGTCGCGACGGGCTGGGGCAGAGCCTACGGGCGTCGCGACGGGCTGGGGCAGAGCCTACGGGCGTCGCGACGGGCTGGGCCAGAGCCTACGGGCGTCGCGACGGGCTGGGGCAGAGCCTACGGGCGTCGCGACGGGCTGGGGCAGAGCCTACGGGCGTTGCGACGGGCTGGGGCAGAGCCTACGGGCGTCGGGACGGGCTGGGACAGAGCCTACGGGCGTCGCGACGGGCTGGGGCAGAGCCTACGGGCGTCGCGACAGGCTGGGGCAGAGCCTACGGGCGTCGCGACGGGCTGGGGCAGAGCCTACTCGCGTCGCACGGGCTAGGGGCAGGGCGCGGGCTAGGCGCGGAGGGTGGAGTGGCGCGGTTTAGGTGCGGAGGCACAATGGGTGCGGAGGTGCGAGCTAAGCGCGGAGGGCGCGGAGGGCGCGGAGGGCGCGGAGGGCGCGGAGGGCGCGAGCTAGGCGCGGAGGGCGCGGAGGGTGAACACTAGGCTAGGAACGGGCTAGGAACGGTCCTGCTCGTGATACCATCTCAAGAGTGGTTAGCAACGGAATGGTTGGAATAGAAACGAATGGGGTACAAATAAGCAACCCTAGAGACTGTACCCCCTAGAGTGCAACTCACTACAGCCTATCATATCAATGTTCAACATTTGACAATACGGTAGAAAAAATAACTGTTGATCTTTTCTTACCAATCGTGACATATACACAAGTTTGCATTTTCTGTACAGTATGTTCACCTTCATAATTTCGCTGCTGTAGCTAGCCCGGAACGTCAGCAGGGGGGGTGGAAGATTCATTTTCGGCTCTTCCGCGCTGGAACCTGCACGTGAGCGATGGCACTGCCGTTGGATGACGGACAGGTATCTTTCAAAAGCATTCTGACGTGGACCGGCAAGCCTGCCCATTCCTCTCTCCTTGGATACCCAGCAAATTTCTTGAAGGCAGATTCGGCCGCCTCGTCCACGTTGGCTTTCAGCTGCCTAGCTGGAGGCCGCGCGCATCCAAATCCCGTAGAAAGGCCTCTTGTCACGCCCAAGAGCCGCGTTCGTTAGAAGCACATCCTCGTCAACCTCTGGGAATACAATAAGATGCATGCCCTTCCTCTCATGGCTCTCTTTCTCTTTGTCCGACTTGTGTGCTTTACGTACAACCCTAGTTAGTTTATACGTGAAGTTATCTCGAGCATCTGCTCACCTCCACATTACAGCTACGACGCGAACGCGTTTCGAAGCTCAAAACCTGAACAAAACCCTCGTTAGGATTGTCCCTCGTTCCCTGATTGAGCGAGCATGGCTGCCTTGGAGCTCTCTGCCGTGTCGTCGCGTCTGACCACCGTGGAGGCTACCGGCATCGTCCAGAAGAACACCGCCGTCAACACCAAAGCCGCATTCTTCGGCGCTTCCATTCGCCACACCGCCAACGCGGCATCCCGACGCCGCTCGCAAACCGTGCGCGCGGAGGCTCCCGCCGAGGGTGCCAAGACGAACGTTGCGAGCCGCCCCGCCGTGTCGCAGGATGCGGACTTGGCGCTGCAAAGCCAGCGCGTGAGCAGCGGCAAGTCGCTCGTGCCGCCCACTCCTAAAGACTTCGTGTCGCGCTACGGCGACAACGAGCCGCGCAAGGGCTGCGACATTCTCGTGGAGGCCCTCGAGAGGGAGGGCGTGCGAACGCTCTTCGCTTACCCTGGCGGCGCGTCCCTCGAGATTCATCAGGTATCGTCTCTTTCCAAATTCTACCTTGAGATGCTTCTTGAAAGTAACTTACCTTGCGTGTCTCCCGCGTTGGCGCTCCTGCCGTCTTCTTGTGAGGTCTGCCTGAATCTTGAATCTGTCAAAGCCAACACTTTTCCGCAACAAAGTCGCCGAATTCCTAATCACCGCTCTTCACCGAGCTTCTGTTCCCCACCGATCATTGTTTTCCGAAGTCTTATAACAGCGAACTTTAACCCGGTGGCGCAACATCCAGTTCTGAGGCGTCTAAAAACTTCTTTCTCTAACCACTGTTCGCCTCTTCCTCTCCCACCCGGAAACCCTCACCGCGACAGGCGCTGACGCGGTCGCCGAACATCCGCACGATCCTGTGCCGGCACGAGCAGGGCGAGGTGTTCGCCGCGGAGGGCTACGCCAAGGTCTCGGGGCGCGTCGGCGTGTGCATCGCGACGTCGGGGCCCGGCGCGACGAACCTCGTGACGGGATTGGCCGACGCGATGCTGGACTCCGTGCCGCTCGTCGCGATTACTGGCCAGGTGCCGCGGCCGTTTATTGGGACGGACGCGTTCCAGGAGACGCCGATCGTGGAGGTGACGCGGTCGATCACGAAGCACAACTACCTCGTCATGGACGTTGACGATATCCCGCGCGTCGGTGAGTCATTTTCTCCACTGAGTCAACGCTAGTCAACGCGAGTCAACATGATTCACTGAGCCGCGTATCGTGGAGGTGATCTGGTCGACGATATGCATCGTCAGTCTTGCTCGGACACCTCCCCTTAGCTTGGAAGGCGTTTGTTGCTCCGGTATAAAAACGAAGCTGGAGCAAGATCGTGTGCAACAATGCAAACTCGTGTTTCTTGAAATCAACTAGCAGCCAGCATTCTATGCTTTGTCCCCCTGCTCCAACTTTTACGAACTCCCGTTCCACACAATCCCCGGATCCCTCCTCCAACCGTGCCCGCGCTCCTCTCTTTCCTCCTCTCCTCTCCCCCTTCCCCCAATCCCAGTGCGCGAGGCGTTCTTCCTGGCAGCCTCGGGTCGCCCCGGTCCTGTTCTCATCGACGTGCCCAAGGACGTGCAGCAGACGCTCGCCGTGCCGTCCTGGAACCAGCCCATGCGCCTCAACGCCTACCTCTCGCGCCTCCCGCCGCCGCCGCAGCGCGCGCAGGTGGACCAGATCCTCCGCCTGCTGCGCTCCGCCAAGCGCCCCGTGGTCTACCTTGGCGGAGGCTGCCTGCACGCGGCGGACGAGGTCCGCGAATTCGCGCGCCTGGCGGGAGTCCCGGTGGTGTCCACGCTCATGGGGCTGGGCGTGTACGACCAGTCAGCGCCGGATGCGCTGCACATGCTGGGCATGCACGGCACCGTGTACGCTAACTACGCCGTCGACTCGTCAGACCTTCTGCTGGCTTTTGGCGTGCGCTTTGATGACCGCGTCACCGGCAAGCTCGATGTGAGTGACCTCCTGGCTTCGGAATCACGCCATACCCTTTCCCTCTCCACCCCGCCTTGCTTTTATTAGGGAGAGAGAAGGAGTGGAAAAGTATGCGTGAGGAACACTGGTCCGCGGCTTGTGGACTAGACCACTCTCACGGGGGTGTTCCTCACGCATACTTTTCCGCTCTCTCTCTCTCCCAAAGAAAAGCAAACTTCATTTTGTTTTTTTTCCATGTGTAAGCTTCTGGTTTTCTGGAATCGTCCAGGTATTCTTTCTCCTTCCCCCCTTGTCCCACCTCATTCCCCCCACCTTTTTCCCCCTTGCCTCCCCCCCCCAGGCCTTCGCGGCGCGCGCGAGCATAGTGCACATCGACATCGACCCGGCGGAGATCGGGAAGAACAAGGAGGCGCACGTCAGCATGCACGCCGACACGCGCCCCGCGCTCGCGCTGCTCAACGCCGCCATCAAAGAGGAGGTGGCGGACGGGCGCCCGCTGCCGTCGTACGCGGAGTGGCGCGCCGAGTGCATGGCGCAGAAGGAGAAGTGGCCGCTCAAGTACCCCCAGGTGAGACACGTGGCACTGGCTGTGGCAGGGGAATGGGGGAGAAATGGGGGTTCGGATGCTTTGCAACCGACTGGCGCGCCGAGAGCATGGAGCAGAAGGAGAAGTGGCCGCTCAAGTACCCCCAGGTCAGTCGGGGAAAGGCGTGGCAATGGCAGTGGCACTGGCTGTGGCAGTGGGTTAATGGGGGGGAAAGGAGGCCTTGTGAGCTGCCTGGATATGGAATGGGATGGCGGAGGAGGAGAATTGGCCGCCCAGATACCCCCATCATTTGGGGAATCCGACAATGGCAATGGCAGTGGTTGGCCTTGGAATCCGGATGTGGGGTCATTTTACAGAGGGCCAACTAACCAGCCACTGCAACAGCAGTGGCTACCAATGATTGTTGAAAATGTAACTCACAGAATGCTCATGCCCATGCGCATGGATGCATGAGAGCATGGGGGGCATGTGCGTATGAGAGCACGAGAATGCGTGGTGACTGCACCAGAACAAGCCGTGCTATCGATCGGCCTTAGATGCTACGCAATGGGGAAAAAACACTGCACTCTGCACCGCACTCCTGAGGGGGAATCGCTGCTCTACCTCACCGGCAAGACCTGTGCTGCTTGCCCCCGCATTCTCACCCCTTCCCCCCGTCCGTCTCCCTCCTCTCCCTCGTCCCCCTCATCGTCCCCGTGTCCCCCCAATCTCCTTGCCATGCAGTCGCCACCACCATCAGGTGGACGAGGCCATTCTCCCCCGGGAGGCCATCGAGATGCTGCACGAGATCACCAAGTTGGAGATTTCGTGGATCACCCCACCTCCTCACACCCTTCCTGTCCACTCTCTCCCTTGTCCCCTGCCATACCACGATCATCACCATCAGGTGGAGGAGGCGATTCTCCCCCAGGAGGCGATAGAGACGCTGTACGAGATCACCAAGGGCGAGGCGGTCATCACTCACACCCCGCCTCACTCCTCTCCCTCCCCCTCCCTCGCTCTCTCCCAATCCTTTCAGGTGGAGGAGGCGATTCTCCCCCAGGAGGCGATAGAGATGCTGTACGAGATCACCAAGGGAGAGGCCGTGATCGCAACAGGGGTGGGGCAGCACCAGATGTGGGCGGCGCAGTTCTTCAAGTACCAGCAGCCGCGCCGCTGGATCACCTCGGGCGGGCTCGGCTCCATGGGCTTCGGCCTGCCCTCTGCTCTAGGCGCCATCGCCAGCAATCCGGGCCTGCCCGTGATTGATATTGACGGCGATGGGTCGTTTATCATGAATGTTCAGGAGCTCGCCACGATTACGGCCGAGAAGCTGCCGGTCAAGATCATGATTTTGAATAACCAGCACCTGGGCATGGTGGTGCAGTGGGAGGACCGGTTCTACAAGGTGAGGAGGGGTGGGGGCATTGTCAGTCCTTGGAAGGAATTGTTTGCGATGGATGGTACATGAATGTAGGATGTGTGGGAGCCAAGAACGGAAGGGATTTCATTCAAGAGATGGCATGGGATGTGATGGTGTGTGAATGCTGGTTCCAGTGAATGCAAGAGTGTGAAGCATACATGCCCACACACGCTCTAGTACATGCATTCTGTACACCTGGAACCATGATCACAGGAGCAGGAGCACTTTCCCTGCCTCCTCCTTCACACTCCTCACATCCTGTCTTACCTTGGGCAGCCGCCCCCTGTTGCCGTGGTAACCGTGCCCGCACCTTCCTGGGGCTGCTTAACCACAGACATTCCACCACCACCCCATCCACCACCACCCCATCCACCACCACCCCATCCATTACCACCCCATCCACCACCCTCCCATCCGCCCCAGGCCATCCTGGGCCTGCCAGGCAATGAGGACGAGATCTTCAACATAGAGCACCTTTTAATCATTTCCCCCACAACCCCCCATTACTCCCCGCCTCCCCTCCCTGCAGGCCAACCGAGCGCACACCTTCCTGGGCCTGCCAGACAACGAGGACGAGATCTTCCCCGACTTCACCAAATTCGCTGAGGCCTGCAAGGTGCAATCGGAGCGTGTCTCGCGCAAGGCGGACCTGCGGGGAGCCATAGAGCGCATGCTGGCAGCAGAGGGGCCCTACCTGCTGGATATCATCGTGCCGCACCAAGAGCACGTGCTGCCCATGATTCCGGGCGGCCGCACGTTCAAGGATATTATCACAGAGGGGGATGGCCGGCAAGAGTATTGAGGGGATGAGGGATGGGCAGGGTGGGGGGCGGTTGTGCTTGGGGTTGAAGTTTGATGCAGGTTATAGGATATGTGGGAGGGATGCAAACCAAGAAAAGATGATGTTATTTGGAGTGAGTGTAGGGTTTGGGTGCTTGTATGTACGTGTCCCTTTTGGATTGGTCAGTTTCTTGTGTATGAAGATTCAATTCAAACGCATTGCTGTTTGTTTCCCTAACGAACTGGGGGGCATTGGTCTCACACTGAGCATGTTTATAAAAATAAGATATACCGTATATAAGCGTTCACAAAATGGTTCATTATTACTGAACCTACTTTGTAGGACACAGAACAATGTAGTGCTGAATTGAGGATCCCTGGTTTGGTATCCCCCGCAAAACTTTTTCAGCGGGGATTGCGAGTGTGGGCGAACTTCCAAGGGTAACAAGAAACGTGTTGACTAGTCGCCGCATGTCGGTGGTTACACCAGAAACCCCTTCCTTCCCCTGGGCATGGGAAAGATTTGTTGTGTGGGGCGAGCGACGTAGCAGGAACGAAGCCCTGCCAGCTGTGTTCGCGATGGTATACACTTCATCGCAATTGGTTGGAATGTTCGCTAGCTGTCGATCGCAAAGAAGTGACGACAGTCTCTGCCCACGAACCCTTCTCCTTTGACAGCGCTGTTCCACGCGCGCCGCTAGGTGGGCAGACCGCGGTGGGGAGGGGCTTGTCTGGCTTGGAGTTTGTCCGCTTGTCCGCCCAGGTCTGGAGGTGGCGCAGAGCGTTTTGATTTTCGGTCAGCCGACGTTCCTGATGGTCATGCTTTTTCCATGGGTAGAAAGGATTTCATGCCGAACTCCTCTTCTTGTGGTCCATGCTTGGGCAAATAATCTTCAAGTCGAGCAAAACTCGTGGAATCTTGAAATACCTACAGTAGGTCATCCATCTGCCCGAATCCTGTCTGATTTCCACCTGCACTCGCACCGTCCACCAATTCCTACCATCAGAGCAGAAAGCACATCCCCATCTCGCCGCCACAAACTCCCTTGCCCCAAATCTCGCCCCTGCGGCTCGTCCAACCGAAAAGCGAAAGTTCTTTCTCCCTCCCTCCTCTTCCACGCCATGGCCGATTACCCCTTCCCATTTTCCATGGCACCTTCGCCACCAACCCCAGCGTGAGTTACGACTGGTAAACTGGCTGGTCTCCCCGCTTGGACTTCGCCATCAGTTGACACACCCGCACACGTCTCGCATTCGCAAGTCTGTGCCCCTTGCATAAATTGCATAAAAGCCAGGTGTCTCCCTGCCAATTCTTTGAGTATCTGGACGTTAGTTGATACAAGATCCAGCATTCGTTCGCGCGTAACTCGCAGATTCTTCTGACATACCCCAGTTTCTCCGACTCAAGCTAATCAGGATTCCATTCTCAATTCACATCTTCTCAATGAGCGTTCTAAGACTGCGATACTTGGCGCTATTACTCGGAATCCTATGGATCGCCCAATCTCACTCTGTTCAAGGTATAGCCATGGGTCATTAGGTATGAGCACGGCCCTCCATTAGGAAAACGTTCGCCGCGTCGTGCGATCACTCATTAGCGTGCCGTCACCGCAGCCCTCTCACGTCGCAAGTGCGATCGTTCGCGCGACGCCCTCAAGTGCGTCCATGCGCGTCGGACTTTTGAGAACCCCCCACTCCCGCCCCGCTTCTCACTCTCCCCCCCTACTTTCCCCCCCCCCCCCCCCCCCCCATTCCCGCCCTCCCTTCACGATTTTGCAGTGGTTTCCGCCAAAAATCCGCTTTACATCGTCCGCCTCCGCTCCGCGCCTCCGCTCACCGCGTATCGCGGCGGGATTCCCGGATACCCCGCGACGGCCGTGTGGGCCGATGACCCCGACGACGACGGCGACGACAACGGCTCGTCTGACGGGCTTATCGCCACGTCCGCCAATGCCGCCGTCACTGCCGCCGCGACTGCCGCCGAAACTATCGCCGCAACTGTCACCGCAACTGCCGCCGCAACCGTCGCTAGCGTGAACGCTTCTATTGGACCTTTCGCAACAGCAGCGTCCGCTGGCGTCACCGCTGCCGCCGCCTCCGCCGCCGCGGCGGGGGGGAACCAGCGTCCGCGCATCAACATGCGCGCGGCGCACGTGACGGCATTCGCGCAGCTGCTGCAGCGGCAGCAGGCGCAAGTCGCGGCGGACGCGGAGGTCGCGGCGGGGCAAGTCCTCTACAACTTCCGCCAGACCACTAACGGGTTCGCGGCGCCGCTCACGCCCGCGCAGCTGCGGAGAGTAAAGCGGCACCCGTCCGTCGCGTCTGTTCGCCGCAGCCGCGTGTTCCGCAAGCTGACGACCTCGTCCGCGACGTTCTTGGGATTGCCGAGCAGCGTGTGGCCCGCCGTGGGCGGGCGCAGCAAGGCGGGCGCGGGGATGGTGATTGGGATCGTGGACACGGGCGTGTGGCCGGAGCACCCGTCGTTCAGCGGAGGGGTACGTGATAGTGGTGATGGTGAGAGTGATGGGGATGGGGCCTGCAAGTCTTGCCAGTGCGTGCAAGGCGAGCGCGGGGATGGTGATTGGGATCGTGGACACGGGCGTGTGGCCGGAGCACCCGTCGTTCAGCAAAGGGGTGCGTGGCTGGAGTGGGAGTGGTGGTGATGATGATGATGATGATGATGATGAGTGCAAGACTGCCTGTGTGCTCACTCTCAACATCCCCCTTTCCTTAGACCCTTCTTGACAGCTCCACATGACATCATGCACAGCAGCATAATCCCATCAGCCCGCCCACATCCTATTCACTCTATCAGCCCCTCCTGCTGTGTCTCATCCCTCCCCACCTCTCCCCATCCCCCCTTCCCTTCCCCCCCTCTCCTCCTCCTTCCCTCGCTGCAGGGCTTCGCAGCAGCGCGCCCAGCAGGGTGGGCGGGCAAGTGCCAGAAGACGGCCGACTTCCCCGCGTGCGGCAACAAGCTCATCGGCGCGCGCTACTTTGTCGCCGGCTTTCAGAGCGAGAACGGCCGCCCCGACTTGACGTACGACTGGCTGTCTCCCCGTGATGCTGCTGGCCACGGCACCTGGTGTGCAGGGTGAGTCATCAGACCCAAGCCAACACCGCCTCTGCCTCTGCCCTGCCTCTGCATCTTCCCGGCCTCTGCACCTTCCCCAATCGCCCCTCTCCCTCCCTCTCCTTCCCTCAGCACCTCATCCATCCCCACCCTCCCTGCCAACTCCACCATCCCCCTCTCCTGGCCCCCTGTATCAGAGCCGCAGCGGGCAACAGCGGTGTGTCGTTCGGGCAAGCGGGAACAGCCTCGGGCATGGCGCCAGCAGCGCGCCTGGCAGTCTACAAGGTCTTCTGGTCCAGCTATGGCGACCAGTTTGCTACAGAGGCAGACATCATCGCCGCCACCAACCAGGCTGTAGCGGACGGCGTGGATGTGCTCTCGCTCTCCCTGGGGGGCGGCAGCGCCGACGCGACCTATTTCGACGATATTCCGTTTCTGAATGCCAACACGGCGGGAGTGTTTGTGGCGTTTGCGGCGGGGAATTCCGGGAGGCCGAGTGGGAGTAGCAGCTTCAGCACTTATCGCAAAATCAGCAACTTCTCTCCGTTCTACCTCACAGTGGGGGCCAGGTATGTTATGTGGCAGCACCACCTTCGCTCTCTTTCCCTCAAGTTTACTTACTTCTCATACTTCCTGCAGCATTGTTTCTCACTTTTACCTCATGGTCGGGGCTAGGTACGTTTCTGCTCCCTCTTGTCCCCACCAATCCACCTGCTTCCTGTGCTTCTGTCTAAGTTCCACTGCCGAGGGTCACCCAACCCGCTTGTTCCAGTGCTGGTTGTTGCAATAAATACGAAACACCTTGCCTGATTGTGCGGGCTCTCTTCCCCCCGCCCTCCCCCTTGCGTCTGCAGCACCATTCAACGAGGAGGTGTGTCTCTAGCCAGGCGGGCACCAACCAGGAAGGCTGCTTCTGCGGGCAAAGCAGTTGTGGCCGCCTCCAATCACTCCAGGTATACTGCCTTGCACAGCGTTGGGAGTGTACCTCACGCCACCTCACACCACCTCATGCCACCTCACACCACCTCACGCCACCTCACACCACCTCACTCCACCTCACACCACCTGCGCCGTTCTCACCTCAGGCATTGTCGTGCAGAAACACCAAAACCCATTTTCTCTTCCAGCTTTTTTACCAGAAAAACTCACAACACTTCTACCTTCTCCCTCCAACTTTTGCCCAGCTGACCCCTCATGCCTTCCCCATTTTCCCCCCCACGCCCTCCCTCCCTTCCCCTCCACCAGCACAACGCATTCCACCCCATCAGCAACACCCTCGCCCACCGCCAAACCCACCGCCACCCAAAGCAAGCCCACCGCAGCCGCCACATCTCCCCGCCGCACCGCCGTCGCCACCGCCCCCACCGTCGCCTCCTTCTCCTCCTCCGGCCCTCTCGTCCGCCCCTGGACCGTCTCCCAAGGCGCCCAGGCCACCAACGCCATCTTAAAGCCCGACATCATCGGCCCGGGGGTCTCCCTCTTCTCTGCGTGGGTCGGCTCTGACGTGGGCGATAAGGGGAGCTACGCACAGCTGTCGGGGACGTCGATGGCGACGCCTCACTTGGCGGGAATCGCAGCTCTGGTCATGCAAAAATATCCCACGTGGAGCCCCGCGCAGGTCATGTCGGCCATTATGACCACCGCCATAACCACCAATATGGCCGGTACCGCCATCAAGAACGCATATGGATCCGTGGCAACGCCATGGGAGATTGGCGCAGGGCATGTGTTCCCGCCCAAGGTTCTCGACCCGGGGCTCACATATGACGCTAGGCAAGCCCACTACCGGAATTTCCTCGCTGGGATGAGCCTTTCTACGGCTCAGATGGAGTTTCCCGGAGCTAGTTTATCGCCCATTGCTCCTCGAAATCTTAACCGGGCCAGCATCTCGGTGGCGCGGTTGCGAGGGTCCGTGGTGGTCAAACGGACCGTTACAAGTGTGGCTGCGTCGGCATCGACTTATACGGCTTCTGTTGTGGCTCCTGCTGGGGTGTCCGTGACCGTGACTCCCAAGAGCTTCTCTATACAACCAGGAGCAAGGGTGGCGTATAGAATAAACCTGAAGGTTATTAGAGTGTACGAAAACTTCCAATTTGGGAGCATTACATGGACAGACGGCAAGGGGCACTCGGTAAGGTCTGTGCTTGCTGTACAGCCGTCAGTCTTATCGTAGACTAGGAATGCGACATAATTATTAAATGTAATTTGTAATGAAATTGTATTATCAAGAATGCGAAAGAGCTCTCAGACGTAAATTGTAGTTCGAGTAGGCGCGTGCTATTTTATCGAGTGAAGCGCAACAGGCGATTTGAGCACCGCAGGCGGAAAACCTGGATTTCGAGGGACCGCGCTGAAAATATGAACACGGCGGCAATGCAGCCACAGTCAGCTCAGCAGATGACACGACCACGGCGAAGTTGCATAGTGGGTCAGTTCGTGGCGGGGCGGAACATTTATGTCCCAGGGGGGAGGGGGAGAGGGGTGGAAGGGGGGAAAATTCCCTGCCTCGTCATCACGTATACTTTTTCCCCCGATATTTCTTCCAAACACTTTTTCCACCATCATACTGTACGTCCTACCCGATTGGTTGTTTTCACTTGCGGTTCTCACACCCACTACCCCCCCTGAACCACCTGTCTCCTCCCCACCACCGACTACTGCAACACCCCAGGTGACAGGCCCCTCAACCAATCCACTCGTTCTGTACCAATCTCATACACGTGTAACCCCTTCAACTACCCTTTTTTCTGCCTACTCACTGGGCAAAACAAAATTCCCGCTCATTCTGCCTCGCTTTTTGCTGTCTTTTCCCAAATCCAACCCTTTCCCCCTTCATTCCCAACCAAACCTCAGCCCCCTTCGGCCCCAGGTGAAAGACCAGGTCAACCCCGTTCCAACACACGCGCGCCACGCCACGCCGGGCTGCGAAGCTCTGCTGGATGGTGCCGAAGTTACCACACGGGTTCGCTTCAGTCAAACGCCTCTCACCGAGGATTTGCGAATTCCAGGAAAGGTCTTCGAACGCCGCCTCGCGCCTCGGCTGATTTCCGGGTTTCAACGCTGCAGCTGTCTTGTCAGGCTGTAAAAGAAGTAACGCGTTCGGCAGTTGAGCGCATCAGGTCGGTTCATCTCTCATTGCCAACTTTGTCCCACCCACACCCACTGTCTTCAGAATCCGTATCGTTCAGATAGCATCTCGCATCCTATTGCTGCATCTCGCCTCTCCTTACCTCACTTCACAGACTAACTTGCAAAGCGGCATTCTGGCCTTCTTCGCTCGCCACTGTTAAATCTACTTCAATTTTACGTCAGTGTAGCTTTTTCACGCGCTCGACAGCCAACTTAAACCGCTCAGTGACTAATGAATCTGTTTGATAGCGTTCCCTGCAAGCACTCCGAGTCGCCAAAGCACTAGCTGAGGCTCCGCATCTTCCCGGCCTGACCTCTCGACGTCCACAACTTCCCCCTCCGAGTGCATCTTGCCACAATGTCGGGCCGCGGCAGATTTTTCCTCGCCATCGCGCTTCTCCTCTCGTCCACGTGTCAATGCGGCTTCGCCGTTCGACGAGGTAAGCCACGTCACTTCGTTCTGTTCTCTCATGGCTAACCCCAGTCCTTGACCTAGTTTTGAGTCAGCTGGTCGCATTCATCAATGGAGCTAGTCCCCTCCGTCCCACAACCCTCGTTCCGTTATCGCCTGCGTCTCATTATCGCGTCCTTCGTTCCCTTCCGCGTTCCCCCTCTCCCCTCCTCCGCTCCCCCACACCTCCTTGCTCCGCCCATCGCAGCGTCTACCCCCAAGTCCTCGTCGCTCTATATCGTCCGCCTGCGCTCCGCCCTTCCCCTCGCCGCGTATCGCGGCGGAATCGCGAGCTTTTCGGGATGGACGGACGACGACGACAATGCTGCCGGTCCGTCAGGTCTGCGCGCGACGGCCGCGACGGTGGCGCAGGAGGAGGCGACGCTTACCGGCAGCATTCCGCGGCGCGCGCGGCTGAGCATGGAGAACCCGCAGCTCAAGGCGTACGCGCAGACGCTCGAGACGCAGCAAATCCGAATCGCGGCTGACGTGGGCGTGACGTCAGACCGCATAGTGTACAAGTACGTGGGGGGAAGAGCGTCGGACGAGTGGGATTCAAACAAACCAGTCAAACCAGTCAAACCAGTCAAACCAGTCAAACCAGTCAAACCAGTCAAACCAGTCAGACGAGTCAAACCAGTCAGACGAGTCAAGCGAGTCAAACCAGCACTGCTGGCAGCACGCCACGTGTTTGAGCCTCCGTTACGGGTTCCTTTTCTAGCAGTGGAATTTCAGCCCCATTCCATGGCTCCCCTCTCTCTTCGCCCACCACACCCACCGCCTCTAATATCGCACCCCAAAGCCTCCCTCCCCTCCACTTTCCCCATCCCTTCCCCCAACCTCCTCTGCTCACCCGCTCCCTCAACCCGAGCGCGAGAACGGGTTCGCAGTGTGACGAGACGAATGGGTTCCGAACGAACCAGCACCCTCACTGCGTGTTTGAGAGCCTTTGCTCCAGGTTGCTGGGGAGCAGTGGATTCTCAGCCCCATTCCATGGCTCCCCACATCACCCACCGCACCCAACCCAACCCCGCCCATACCGTACCCCAGACCCTCCTTCCCCTCCCCATCCCCCGTGCCCTCACCCCTCCTGCACCCCACTCGCCGCCACTCCTCCCTTCCCCCCCTCTCTCTCCCCCAGCAACAGTGCTCACCCACACAGCCTACCGCCCCCACCTGCCGCGAAGCCTCCTCGGCCTCTTCATTCCACATCCCTTCCCTCATCTCCCGCTTAACTGTCTCGTCTTTCCCCCCACTTTCCTCTGCTCGCCTCCCCCGCTCCCCCTCTCCCACTTACCCAGATACATGCACGCGAGCAACGGGTTTGCAGCGTCCCTCTCCCCGCAACAAGTGCGGCAGCTGCAGCGGCACCCGGCAGTGGCGGCAGTGACGCGCAGCCGCAGAGTGACCCCCCTCACCACCGACTCGCCCACCTTCCTGGGCATGCGTGCCACCGGGTCGCTGTGGCCCGCCAATGGCGGGCAGGCGAGCGCGGGCAAGGGCATGGTGATAGGCGTGGTGGACACGGGCATCTGGCCGGAACACCCCTCCTTCAGCGACGCGGGTTTCTCCTCCTCGAAACCCGCGGGGTGGTCGGGGAAATGCGACACGACGAGCGAGTTCAAGTGCAATAATAAGCTCGTTGGCGCACGGGCGTTTTACAAGGGCTTTAAGGCGGACAACGGCGGGCCGGACCTGTCGAATGATTGGCTGTCGCCTCGCGATTCGTACGGCCACGGCACGTGGTGTGCAGGGTACGTGGCTTGGGCTTTGCATGGGTTTTGAGATGCCTTGAGGCTGGAAAGCTGCGGGGTGACAGGCTTGGGAAAACACCTCAGCTCAGCTCCTTGTGAGGCCCAGTGCTTCACGTTTCAAATTGACACCATGTGCATCGGTCCATTATGGCAACTCACGAGCCTCCATGTATCCCCCTCCCTCTTCCCCTTCCCCTCCCCACATCCATCACACATTACCCTCTGCAGTGCGGCAGCGGGCAACAAGGACGTGGCCATGGCGGGCGGCAAGGCGAGTGGCATGGCGCCAGCAGCGCGCCTCGCAATGTACAAGGTCTTCTGGTTCTCCGAAGGCTCCCTCTTTGCCGTATCCGCCGACATCGAAGCGGCCGTCAACCAGGCGGTAGCGGACGGTGTGGATGTGCTCTCGCTCTCGCTGGGCGGCAACGATCCAACGGACACCTACTTCTCCCACATGCCGTACCTCGCGGCCAACCTCGCGGGGGTGGTTGTCACGTATGCGGCGGGCAATGCTGGCCCGTTCTTCGGGGACCGCACACTCGACAACTTCTCACCCTTCTACCTCACTGTGGGGGCAAGGTGAGCAGGCAGCGTTTCTACCCTCTCTGCTTAACAACCAACCAGGCCACCCCTCCTGCTTGCTCCTGTCCTCGTCGTCAACTTATATTCCTCTCACCTTCTCACCGTCCTCTCCCCTCTCCCTCCCCCCTTTCTCCCCGCACCTCCAATTCCTCCCGGCAGCACCATAGGCCGTGGCGGTCTAACCCTCAAGGCCGCTACATCAGCAGCAGCAGCTCTCAGCAACTCATCATCCGCCTCAGCCACCCCAGCAGCCATCGCCTACCCATCCATCGCCGAATTCTCCTCCACAGGCCCCCTCCGAGACCCTTCCACCGATGCCACCGGCGCCCTCCCCACCAACAGCATCTTAAAGCCCGACATTGTCGGCCCGGGCGTGGATCTCTACGCGGCTTGGCCGGCTGAGAAGGTGGGAAAGCCGGGGAGCTACGCACAGCTGTCGGGGACGTCGATGGCGACGCCTCACTTGGCGGGCATTGCTGCTCTCATCATGCAAAAGTACCCCAAGTGGAGCCCCGCGCAGGTCATGTCCGCCATTATGACAACCGCCAAGACCACTGACACAAGCGCTGCTGCTATCAAGAATTCTTACGGCGAGGCCGCTACCCCGTGGGATGAGGGAGCTGGTCAAGTGTTTCCAGCCAAGGTGCTGGATCCTGGGCTCACGTTTGATGCTCGGGCAGCTGCGTATCGGAATTTTCTTGCCGGGCAGAGCATGAAGCAGGCACAGAAGGAGTTTCTGGGCGCTAATCTGACAGCGAGTGCTCCCCGTGAGTTGAATCGTCCGAGCATCTCAATCTCCCGCTTGAGAGGGACGCTGACAGCAACGAGGACCGTGACAAGCGTTCTTGGTGCGTCGGCCACATACACCGCTACCATCAAGCCTCCTAAGGGCGTGGATGTCACGGTTTCACCGAGTAAATTCACCATTGCAAAGGATGGGAAGGTTACCTTCACGGTGACCTTCAAGGTGACTAAGACTTCTGAGGACTTCCAGTTTGGAAGCCTAACGTGGGCCGATGGTAAAGGGCACTCGGTGAGAATGGTGCTCGCAGTACAACCCACTAAGCTGTGAGTGAGAGCGCGTACAGTACTAGTAATATTGTATGTATTGATATTGGTTGTACCCGGTGCGTCAGGGTTACCTTAGATTTTACAGGTTTTTATACCTTGCATTGAATGGCTGAGTTGCTGCTGCTTGTGTCAGCGGATGCTCCTTTGTGGTGCCATGCTTGTGAATGCTTCACTAGCCCAATCGCTGGCTGTTTTGTATATTGTGTAGCTTGACCAGGGCCCCAGGCCCACAATTAAGATCGAGTGAAGTTATTTGCTTTCTCCAGTTTCCAAGGCTTTACTCTATCAGACTATCACCATACCCTGCTGCAATCACTTTATCACATATATAATATTTCCAAAGCAGATCTTTAGAACTTCCAGGCCCCCTGAGCGGACTGGGTGCCCTAAATCAGCCTAGTCCCAAGCCTCTATGCTGCATCTGCCACGCGTTTCTCAACGACCACCTAAGGCTCGCCCCACTCGCCCTCCCTTGCAGCCAAAGACCCCTACATTCCCCTTTCTATCCCAGTCAGTCATCACCCCCCTCCTCACTACCATACATCTGGCCACCCCAGCCCTGGTCCCCCCACTCCCATCCCACCCCCTCCCTCATCTCGCATAACTCTCTTTCCACTTTTTACAGCCCAAGCGTGCATGTGTTGGAATGTCTGAAATAATTATTATAACACGGTATTCCAGCAGATATGGTGGAAAAGGCTGGATGGAGCCTATAGACAAGAGGTACCGTACCATGAAATACCTGTACACCCACCCTGCCTGACCTCTGCTATGCAGTTGCTTATACCATGCTTGCACATGCGTGTCACCTGCCCTTCAGATTTGGACAGCTAACACCTCCCCCTTTGTACAGAAGCAAAGCATCCCCGTGACCCGGCTACATGACGGGAAGAGTGCCTCTTCCAGGATACATGCACGGGTATCACCTGCTCCTTTCCACATCACGAGAAGAGTTAACACCTCCCACCACAAACTCCCTACTGTCCTCTGAGCCGAGCATTGCCAGCCTGGCACCCAACTCACTGCCACCACTCCACCCCGCACTTCCCCCCCTGAATAGCCTGCTCCAACTCCCCGCACTCCCCCTTCCCACACTCTCCCCCTCATCCTCTCCGCTTCCTCCCCCCTCCCCCTCTCCCGGTCCTCCCGTTTCTCCCCCCTCCCGGCCTCCTGACTGCCCCTAGAGCAGCAGAGAGGAGCGGAGGGGCCTGAGAGTGGTGAGGGCGGAGGAGGGGGTGGGGAGGGCGGAGGGGGAGGGGGAGGAGCAGGCGAGGGCGAGGCGGAAGAGGGGGAGGATGAGGGCGGGAGGGGGCAGAGGTTGCGGTAGCAGGGGGTCCATGAGAGGAGAGATGTCGCCGGCTGTTAGGTGCTGCTGGGCCTGCGGGGGTTGGGGGGTGGGAAAGGGAAATAGAGATGGGCAGGGGGACGGGGACGGGAAAAGAGGAAGGTGGAAAGGGAAGCAAGGGAGGAGGTTAGCGGGAGAGATAAGAGGAGGAGGTGGGCATGGGGGAGAGGGAGGGGGAAGATGAGGGGTGGAAGAGGGCAGTGGAGATAGGGAAGCATGGAGTGCAAAGGTGTGAGCATGAGGTGCAAAGGTATGAGCATGAGGTGCAGAGGTATGCGCATGAGGTGCAGAGGTGTGAGCATGAGGTGCAGAAGTGTGAGCATGAGGTGCAGAGGTGTGCGATATGAGGATTGTGCTGCGACATTGCATGCCATGCCATGGCACACCATGCCATCCCATGCCACACCATGCCATGCCACACCATGCCATCCCATGCCACACCATGCCATGCCATGCCACACCATGCCATGCCATGCCATGCCGTAACCTGACTGGCAGAACCCCGCTCACGCACCCAGCGATAGATGTGTGTGCGCTGCCCATCCACTGCACCTGCCCACCCTGTGAGCAGCTGTAGCAGCATCACTCCCACACTGGCGGGGGGATGGGCAGACAGGGAAGGGGCAGGGGGGTGAGCAGCTGTAGCAGCAGCAGTCCAACATGCGGGGGAGGAGTGAGCAGCTGTAGCAGCAGCAATCCAACAAGCGGGGGAGGAGTGAGCAGTTGTAGCAGCAACCGTCCAACAAGCGGGGGAGGAGTGATCAGCTGTAGCAGCAGCAGTCCACACTGGTGAACGCAGGGTGGAGGAAGGAAGGTTAAAGCCCCACATGTACATGTCAGTGGTGGGAGTGGCAATGCCGGTGTGCACCACAGCCGGGTCCACATGCCCCTCCGTGCACCGTAGCAGATACACCTTCTGCCCGCCTCCGCCGCTGCTGCTGCTCCTGCTACCACTCCTACCAGTTCCCCACAAATGCCCACTGCTGCTACCCTTGCCTCTTTCTTTCCCCCCTCACCTATCCCCCCTTTGCGCCTCCGCCCCCTGCGCCACCTCCACCTGCACCACCACATCTCTTTCAGCAGCACCTGCTTCACCGTTCTCCCACCCTTCCTCCTCTCCGTTACCTCCCGCCTACCCCCCTTTGCCGGCCGCCCTCTTGCCTCTGCCCTACCCGTGCGGGTGTGTGGTCATGTCCGCGCGTGAGCTGGCGGGCAATGGCTCGCCGTGCCTTGCCATCGGTGCCCTGCCATCGATGCCCTGCCATCGGCGGGTATTGGTGCGCCCTGCCTTGCCATCGGTGCCATCGCATGTCTCTTGTATCGAACTTGCTGTTCCACCTGCAGTCCGCTTCAAAGGCCTTGCCCGCTGCTCCCTGCATCCTGCCCCCTGCGCTGGTGAGGCGTGGAGTTGCGCTGGTGAGTGCGGTCGTGCTGCGCTGGTAACTGAAGGTTCGAGCCAAGCACCAGATTTACTCAGCTGCTTGTTGGGCTGGTGATTGTGTGAACTGCTGAGGCTAGTGGGGACAGATGGTGAACTCTATGCGCTATAGCTCGCTCGTGGGGAGACAGATGGGGAAGAGATAACACCTCCCACCACAAACTCCCTACTATCCTCCGAACCGAGCATCGCCAGCCTGGCACCCAACGCACTGCCACTGCTTCACTTCCCCCTTCCCCCAGCACTTCCCCCCTGAATAGCCTGCTCCAACTCCCCCCACTCTCCCCCCCAGTACTCTCCCCTTCCTCCCCCCCTATCCCCTTCCCCCGTTCCTCCGCCCTTCATGCCTGCTGACTGCCCCCAGTGCAGCAGGGAGGAGCGGAGGGGCTTGAGAGTGGTTTGAGCAGAGGTGGGGTTGGGGCGGAGCATGCAAGGGCGAGGCGGAGGGGGGGAGGGAGGGGCTGTCAAGACTTAAGACTAGAATGGCTAGGTTAGGTCAAGGTTGGGGTACAAGACTAGAGTGTCGAGAAAGTTTGTGTACCCCCTAAGGCTAGCCCCAATATAGCCTATATAAGAATATGCATATGTTTTGACACACCCCCATAGGCGAAATGGGGGATAGCCAGAGCAAACAATGGTCACAAGACCAGTCAAGAGAAGAAACAAAACACAGCTCAGGGTGGATCACAATGTCACCACACACACTGAGCACAAGCAAACGGCCACAAGGCCAGTCCACAGGCAGAGGTATACAACAAGAACAGCACAGTGATCTCTATCTAGCAAGAGCAAGCATGCAGGTATATATATATAGATCACAGTACAAGCAGAGACTACAGCAAGTGTGGAAACGTAGGCACAAGGCCCAACAAAGTACAAAAGCGCTGATGGTCACCAGACGGAAGTGCCTTGGTGAATATATCAGCAGTGTTGGCCCGAGTGGCCACGTGAGCAAGGCGAAGCTGACCCCGCTGCTGCAACTCTCGAGCCAGGAAGTAACGCAGAGCGATGTGCTTCGTTCTGTGCTCCAGTCTGTGCTCCTGACACAAGGCAATGGCGGCCTTGTTGTCTACGTACAGAACTGGAGGAGAACGAGGCCGCTCTCCCAGGTCGGTCAGCAGGTAGGTGCGCCAGCGTAACTCCTGTGCAGCCATGGCTGTGGCGTAGATCTCAGCCTCACAACTGGAGCTGAGAACAGAAGACGAGCGTGTAGACCGCCAAGAAACAGAGCCCGAGCCAAGGCTGAAGGTGTAACCCTGTGACGACCGCTGCGTAGCCTGGTCGTCAACCGAAGAAGCGTCTGAGTGGCCAGTGAGGACTACGTCGCTCCGTCCTCCAAGCACGAGCCCCATGCCCGATGTACTGCACAAGTAGCATAGTACCCTCTTAGCAACATCCATGTGCACCTTTCGGTGCCGACCAGGAGCCACGTAGCGAGCCAGAAGGCCAAGAGGGTACGCAAGGTCAGGACGAGTGCAGGTCATCAGGTACATGAGGTAGCCCACTAGCTCTGGGTACGGACCACTCGGCTCTACGGACTCGTCCGAAGGTGGAGCTGAGAGCGAGTGACCGGTAGCCAGAGGAGTGGACTGTGGCGAGGACCAAGTGAAGCCGAAGCGCTGAAGGACCTGCTGCACCATGTGTGACTGAGTCAGTGTGATGGTGCGGCGTGCTCTGTCCCGGGTGATCCGCAAGTCAAGATAGCTTGTCAGCTCACCCAGGTCTGTGCACGTGTGTCTCTTCTGCAGCTCCGACTTCACCAGGGCGAGAGCCTCAGTGTCAGCAGTGGCAAAGACCAAGTCGTCGACGTACACGAGGATGTAGAACGGCGGCATCGAAGTGTCGGTGCGCAGAAACAGCGACGGGTCAGCAGTCGAAGGAGCAAACCCAAGAGCCGCAAGTGTCGTCCTCAGTGTGTCGTGCCACTCACGTGGCGCCTGGCGGAGACCGTAGACCGGCCGCCGGAGGCTCCACTGGGTACCAGGAGGAAACGACCCAGTGAAGCCAGGTGGGCGGCGCAGCCAGATCTCCTCGTGCAGGCTGCCCTGTAGGAAAGCAGTGCTGAAGTCAAGACAGTGGAGCTCGTAGTCACGCTGAGCGGCGACGTGCAGCAGAATCCGAAGAGTGGTCATCTTCGGGGTGGGGGAGAAAGTCTGGAAGAAGTCAACTCCCTCTCGCTGACTGAAACCTCGAGCAACGTAACGAGCCTTGAAGATAGGCGGAGAACCCGGCGGCCGCTTCACCCTGAAAATCCACATGCCACTGACGATGTTCGCCCCAGGAGGGGGAACCTCGTCGACGTACGTGCCTGTGGACTTCCAGGATGCCATCTCTGCGTCCATGGCTGTCTGCCACTGAGAGGAGTACTCACCCGCGATCGCCTCAGCGTAAGAGCGCGGGGTCGGGATGTCTGGTGCATCCGGGTCTCCCTCAGGGGCAAGCAGCATGGCCACGAGATGAGGTGCAGGGGCGGCAAGACACTCAAGGTCCTCCTGCCTGTCCTCAAGGACGTCCGTGCCAAGAGTACACTCACCCCCGACGGACGGAGGACAGTCAGACTCAGACTCAGCAACCAGACTAGCAGCGTAGTCTAGACGACAGGCAGCAGCAAAGTCAACCAGCTCAGTGACAAAGGCAGACGCAGCAGAAGACTCAAACGACGGGTCAGTGACAACAGTGGCTAGCAGACGCGTGACAGTAGGGTGCTCAGCACGAAACCGGTCAGACTCAGGGTCCACAAGGACAGGCAGAGAAGACGCAGGAGGAGACGGCAGAGGAACACGCTGCGGAGGAGAGGAAGGACGACGGACTGCGAGGTGGGTGTCGGGGACAGCCGGCTTACGCAGACGAGGAACACGACGACCGGAACGACGAGAACAGACAGGCGAGACAGGACGCGACGCAGGCTCACGACGCACAGTAAGACCCCCTGGCTGCTCAGTGTAAGGAGAAGGAGCAGGCAGAGGTGAGCCAGGCTGTAACGGAAGACCAGTAGACGACGGGAGGCTAAGAACCTGGCGAAGTACGGAGTCAGGCGGTGGCAGAGACGACGGAGACGGTGGAGCAAAGAACAGGCGCGGCTGTGCAGTGCCACCAGTACCAGCAGCTCCAGCACCCTCAGCAGCTCCAGCACCTCCAGCAGCTCCAGCACCCTCAGCAGCTCCAGTACCCTCAGCTGCTCCAGCACCTCAAGCAGCTCCAGCACCCTCAGCAGCTCCAGCACCTCCAGCAGCTCCAGTACCCTCAGCAGCTCCAGTACCCTCAGCAGCACCCCCATAACCGGCACCTCTAGTCCCAGGGTCTCCAGCCTCCGTGTCTCCAGCAACAGCACCCCCAGACCCAGGGTCTCCAGCAGTAGCACCCTCAGGCTCAGCAGTACCTCCAGCCCCAGCAGCTCCAGCACCTCCAGTACGAGCACCTCCGGGACCAGCACCACTCCCAGCTCCAGTGACGTCAGCACAAGTACCTCCAGCGGCAGAGCCCCGAGCTACAGAAGCGCGACCCTGACGGCGACCGTACCAGTCGTGCAGCTGCTGTGAGGTGAGAGGCACACGCGTACGAAGGCGGCTACTCCAAGGAGACCGCGCAGGAGCAGACTCAGAACCCTCAGGCGTCGCACCCCCAGACTCAGTACCCCCAGGCTCCTCACGCTCGGGCTCAGCACCTCCAGACACAGCACCCCTAGGCCCAGGACCTCCAGGCTCCTCACGCTCAGGCTCAGCGCCCCGAGACTCCGCACCCCCCGACTCAGCACACCCAAGCTCCGCACCCCCAGGCTCAGCACCCCCAAGCTCCGCACCCCCAGGCCCAGCACCCCCAACGACAGTACCACCCCCAGCAGGACCTGAGTCACCAGTGACCTCAACAGGCGCAGGCAAGGGAGGGTCTACCTGAGAAACACCTGAAGGAGCAGGACCTGGCGCGGGGAGGGGGTCTACCTGGGGAGGACCTGGGGCGAGAAAGAGCGGTGGGGTGGGGGGGCGAGGGGCAGTGCAGTAGGGAAAGAGACGGTAAAAGGGGACGGACTCGTCAAAGGTGACGTCCTGAGACGGAAAGACACGGCGCGAGGCTGGGTCGTAAAACTGCCAGCCAGGCGCGTCAGGGACAAAGCCAAGGAAGACGCAGGGAATGGCGCGAGCGGAGAGTTTGTCCGCGGTGGTATCGCGGACAAAGGCACGAGCACCCCAGACCCGGAAACGCGACGCATCGCCAACCTGCCCCGTCCACAGTAGTGTGGGCGAGGTCTCCGGCAAGGAGACACGGGGCCAGAGGTTGAGCTGATGCGCGGCGTACCGGACCGCAAACGGCCACAGAAAATGGGGGGCAGCCGCATGGATCATGGAGGTACGAGCGACCTCCATGACTAAGCCAATGCGGCGCTCAGCAACCCCATTCTGCTGCGGAGAGGCCGGAAGCGTGAACGTCTGGCGGATGCCGTGCTCCGCACAGAAGGCTGCCAAGAGGTCTGAGGAGAACTCACCACCTCTGTCAGAGTGCAGACGCAGGACAGGGAAGTCCGACTGGAACCGCTCGCGGAGCTGGAGACGAACAGCGCGGATCCAGGGGATCAAAACATCAGGGACCTCCCCCTTGCTGCGCAAGGGGAAGACCGTGGTGTAACGCGTGTAGTCGTCGACGACCAGCAGGAAGTACCGCTCGTGGCCCTGTCCACGGACGCGGGCTGGGCCCCACACGTCCATGTGGAGAGTCTGCAGGGGAGCCTCTGTGGGAGGAAACGAGGAGGAGTGAGGAGCGGCGCGCTGCCGCCCCTCGACGCAAGGAATGCAGGGCGGCGCAGGCGAGGGAGGGAGGGCAGGCAGAGACTCAGGAAGGCCAGAGACCAGGTAGCGAGATTGCATGCTACGAAGGCGAGGCAGGGAGGGGTGACCAAGGCGGTGGTGCCACAGAAGAGTGTCGTGCGACAGGCGGCGACACTCACACTGGGTTTTACCTGAGCAGACGCGTACAGCTGGGGGGACAAGGGGGTGTAGCGTGACGCAGTGGTGAGGGTGTACAGACTAGACCCAGGCGCACGTGTGAACGTGGCCAGGTGACGGCCGGTCCGGGAGCACGTGCAGATCGCCACACGCTGTCCTCCAGGAGTAAAGGTGTCAACCCAGTGATCCTGAAGGACGGCGTTGCTCACCAAGTTCGTAGAGAGCGAGGGGAGGTGGAGACCAGACAGCTCACCAGACGGGACCGCCGGACACGGAAGCAGAGTGGAAGACCGTGCAAGCACTGGGCCCCCAGAGGGGTCAGCCGGCGAGACAGGAACAGGTGCAGGGAGGGGAGTGACTGTGATGCTGTCGCGAAAGAAACAGCGGGAAGCACCAGAGTCAAGTGTGAAGGTGTGCAAGGCCTGTGCGGACGCAGTACCAAGGGGAGCAGACTCACAAGCACCTAGCACCACAGGTGCTATACCTGGGGCT